ATATAAACATATTTACAACTTGAACTCTTGTTTATCTCTTCAAGATAACTTGAACATTGTAACGATCCATATCGTTTTCTATCTCCTCGGATAAATATGCCGTTCCTGGCTGTTTCCCTACTTCCTAATTTCTCGCGCCAGCCGTAAGCCTCAAGCCTACGACAATGATCGGTCGTTAACCGAATCATATATTCGGGTGTCATCGTGCCATATACGAAGGATGTCATGGGTCACGATGATGATCGCGGTCGATCCCCTCAACAGAGAGAAGTGAGACTTCTTACCGTAGAAGCACCTTCCTTCACGATTTTCCGCACGTAATCGATGCGCTGTGTCGCATCTTTGTAAATTGTTGTATACGCGCATTTTATTTTACTAAATGTTTTGTTTGTTCAATATAATATTTTGTTTATTTTGTGTTCACACATCCCAAGGATTATCCTTCAGGAACTCCGATGTGTGCCACAGCGATTCGACGATCTGCGAACTGGTAAGTTCGATCAATCGATCTTTATTCCTCATCTGGATGGACTCGTCTCGGATCAATTGCTCGCAGCTGCTCATTTAACTGCGTCGCAGGTCGAATCGCCTTTTTTGAGTTTTGGATTTTCGCTCAATTTCTTTGTATCGGCTATTGCGAGCCGAACCCCCACTTTCTATTTAATTTAAAATATCTAAAGTCTCGCGAAGTTCGTTACAACCTTTTTTAATAAATGGTGTTCTGATAATAAATTTGATTTAAATACCATTAAGTATAAGGTTTTATCTTTTACCAGAAATTCCTCAATTTTGGAACACCAGTACAAAATTAATGATACTGTACTTGAGAGAGAGTTTTTAGAATTAAGGACCTAGGAGTCACAATCTTACCTAATTTATCTTTTAAAGACCATATTAGTAAAATTGTTAACAGAGCTACTAAGACTTTGGGATTCTTAATTACATCATGCAGACAGTTCAATAATAGGTCAACCTTAATTGTACTCTTCCAAACATTGGTTCTAACAAAGTTTGATTATGCTAATAGTATTTGGTTCTCTGTGTTTCAAAAATATATAGATGCAATTAATCAATGCCACAAGTAGTTTTTAAAATTCTTAGCTTGGAAAGAAGATACAGTTTATCCCCCTAGAGGAATTGATTTTAAAGCAATACAGTAGAGTCAGTAGTCAGTAGAGGATAGACAAAACTTTTCGAATATTCTATTCATTTTTCAGCTTTTAAAAGATCTGATTGACTGTCCGTTTGTATTACAACTACTTCCATTCAATGTTTCACAATATACTGTACGTAATTATACTCCTTTTTATCTACCATCAGTTCTCAATAACCAGTCACCAGTAAATTGAATTTGTTCTCTTGTAAATAATCTATATTTTCAAATGGAAGATGACACTGTTGACTTATTTTTTATGTCACTTAATGAATTTATAAATGCAGTCCGGAGCTATATCAATTAAATTACTTTGTCAGTAGAGTAGTTGCCGATAGTCTACGTTAATTTTATGTATTTTTTAAAGCCCTATAATTGGTGTATACTGTTGGACTTTGTTATTTTCAAATAATTAAATTAAATTAAAAGTAAAACATCAAACCAACTAGAGTTGATGATAAACAGATTGTAAAACAATTTAATCATTTTATCAACATTCGCTACCAACTACAATTTGATATCAAATTAGAAGTAATAATTTTGCTCTTTATTAATAAAATCACTTGTTATCCTCATAATTCACAGATTGTCTTTTTTACTATTAAAGACGAATTTTTGAAATACAGAAAATCAGTTTTTAACTGTGTGAATTACTAAACTGATATAGTAAAAAGAAACTATTTTTTAAATCTCTAAAAATCAGTGTTAAATCTTTAACATACTCATGCCCTCCGGACACAAAATAAAGGTATTGAGTACCGTTTCTAATTATATTATTGTTTAATTTATCAAGTTTCAAATTGTATCTTTGGAAAAAGAAATTGTCAGTTTTAAAGGATTTATTAAGAAAACACAGGTTAAAAAAATAATTAATAATTTCTGTTTAAGATCTAGATAAACAATTAAACAATTTATTGAATATTCATACAAATGCCAATGTATTCTTAATTTAAAAACAAATTCCCTTTTTATTATATTATAAAATAAATTCCCTTTTATTATTCTTTGAATTCTCTTTTCTTGATGAACAAAAAAATTTGTGTTTCGGATTATATAGTTTCTATTCAAGTCTCCAAGTTGAATCCGATTTCTTTTTTTCTAAAAAATGAAGTGACACATTTGATTTGAAAAAAATCGAATTTTTTTTATAGTTTACTGGACACCTTGAAGGATATGTAGAATGGAATTTCAATCATAGAAACCGATTTTGAAATTGTATTTTGTAAAAATATTAAAATTTGTAACATATGTGTCAATGCATGCTGTCAGCAGTTGCAAGTGTCTATGCGGTGACTTTATATTATTTACAAGTTTTCATATTGTATATAACTTTATACGCATTTTTCTTCAAAAAACAAAATTTTATTGTTTATTGTATTCTTTTTATCTGAAAGAAATTCATGAAAAACAGGTTCAAACTTTACGTAAAAGTAGTTACTCACTCTTAAGTGATAATTAGGATTAAGTTCTCATAAAAAATGCTACACAGAACGTCTAAAAGAAGGAAGAGTAAAGTAAAATTATATCTTTCTGACTCCAGCCATCTGCTACTTAACTCACGTTCTACTAATCTTAAAAAAAACAAATATCCTAAAGCCAAGAATATTTTTTTTTTAGAATTTTTGCTTACGCATATAAAAGTGACGTAAAAATATAAAATAGTCAATATTTATTTTTATGCAATAAAGTTTTATTCTATTCGCATGATGCGAGGGAAAAAAATTTCCTTAAAAATTACAATCTCATTGCACATATATAGATACAGAGAGGTCCATTGAAATAAAATCGGAAAACGTTACTTCAAAAGTTGTCAGTTTGAATTATTTCAACAACTTTTACAGTGGAATTTCTTTTGAAACTCACAAAACTTGGAAATAATACTGATGGTTGAGTAAATTCTTTTGGCTTTTTGTTAGATAAATACAGACAAGTTTCAATATAGAAAAATTTTACATTTTACGAAGATAAAGAGTGAAATATATTAAATAAAAAAAGCAATTTTTTACAAATGAAAAATAAATTATACGTAAATATTAATGATAATTTAATTAATTAATTCGTATCGTTTAGCAGAAATTGAAAGAGTATTTTTATTAATCCAAGGAACATTATATAATTCCTATCGTATTCTCATCACAAAGCTTTATTCCATATCTAAACATCATTTTAATCTCTCTCACCATACCATCAATTTCAATAACAGTTTAATTTAAAACGACCCTCAGGGCAATTCGAGTTTATAAGAAGCTGTTTGAAGAACGAGATTTTAAGAGCACCTATTTTCAAGTTGAAGTCTCCGCGCTTTCTAATATCTCTCTTCAATATAATTTCAGAACGATGGAAAATACTCCATTCCTTTAACAGACAATTCATAATTTTCAATACGTTTGACTTTGGCATTTTCTATATTTGGCCAAATGGAATTTCAGCAGTAATTGTTTTTCTTGTGAAAAATCCAATTTACTTTTTTAAAAAGACATTTTTTTCATTTCTAGAATAAAATTAATTAAAAATAAATCAGGTTTAATAGTTCATTTAAAACTTTAGTTGTAAATTTATTGAATTTTAATCTTCAATACATGGGATAGATTACATATAATAAAGTTGAAGACGAAGAATTTTTCTTTCACCAAAACTGTGCAAACAAATAATTGAGTCAGAGAGAAAAGAGAATATTGCTAAAGATCACGTTCTAGGAAGGTCCAATTTTCGGACTGACTTGTCGATAATTAAGGTGAATACGTGAGCTGACTTTTGATGTTCTTATGAAACTTACTGGACAGAAACACTGTATATATATATAGAAAGAAAACACGCGCTTGAACTGAAATATCTGTCTGCATCATGTTCTCCATATTTTTATAAAGTTATTTTTATAGTCTATATGGTTCAGATACTTTTATAGGGACGGTAACGCTAATGCGGTCCTTCTAGAGTTTTTTAACCTACCGAGTTTTTTTTTTTTCTTAGAATCATCTTATAAATTTCAAATTGTTCAAGATACTGAGACTAATATGCCATGCAAAATTTTGTGAGCAAAGTAACTTAATCTACATTGTAAATTTTAAGTAAAGCATACAAGCTTTAAGTGAACATCATTTAATCAAATATTTTTCATCGAAGTTAACAGATTAATTTTGGTGCGGTTTATCTTTTTTTTTTTGAAATAATAGAAGATGTAACAAACTTAAGTGATACTGCATATATTCAAATTATATTCAATATATTCTTTGCTTTTAAAAATAATATTGAACTTTTACAAGATTTAATATTGTAAATTATGATAACACGTTATTTGGAACAAGTATATAGTGCAAAAGCTAATTTATTAATAAAATGACCCGATCCATCTTGACAAGAACAAATGATCGAAGAGTAAATTACTCTCGTGTTTCATCGAGTTATCTTGAAGTGATTTGACTCCTGAGGCTTCGCGTAAAACTTTAAAGTACAAGGATCACCTAAGTCTTTAAGAATATTTCCTAGCTTCAGGAGCTAAATTTAATTGGTCATTAATGCTCTTAAAGTTGAAGAAAATGTCATTCTTTTTTACAAAGAGAGAGAGAGAGTGCACATCAAAGTTTTTAACCTTCATGAAAATTTAATGATCATTAAATTTTTTAACACAGAAATACTATACTTCAAGATTGGAATTATAATTTCCATTAACTCTACATGTATTATTTATGAAATATTTATTACAATTTTGATATAAAACAAAAAAAAGTCTAATAAAAAATTTCCAAATTTCCAAAATTAAAGACTGATTTAAAAAAATGTAAATTCTATTTATAGATAACATTTATAATTATAAAAGGTTTTAGTAATTTAATATTTTTTGTTACAGGTGCAATTTTTACTGAAGATCAAAAAGATAGTCCAATAGAGTTGGCCTTTAAATATGCTGTATACAGAATCAATAAGGACAGAAGTCTTCTTCCTAACACCAGTTTGGTGTACGATATTCAATATGTGCCTAAAGATGATTCATTTAGAACTTCCAAAAAGGGTAAGTGATCAAAATTAAATACATTAAAACCGTATAGAGTGAATGAGGGGATTGCACCAATTATTTATTGCCTAGTACTATATTATTTAAAATAAATAAAAAGACCTGAATATCTTAAATTATTACGTTTCAATGAAACTAATAGAATTTAAAATAAAAGGAATATACAAGATAATTTGCATAATTTTAATGCGATCATCAAGTCAAGAATGAATTTAATAATATTGTTATTTAAAAGAATACAACCCCCTATTAAAATATGAATTTAAGAAACTCAAAAATAAACAAGTCAAGGTAAGAAACTTAAAGGAGTCTATTATAAATTGAGAGAATAATTGATATTCTCTTCTACAATTTATATATTTGAAGTGGATACAATTCGATCCTTTGAAGGTAAACGAATAATTAATGTCTTAAGTTATTTTTTTTTGTTTAATTATATAAAAAGCCATCTTTTGATGACTAGATTCGTTATCATCATAACTTAAATAAATAAAATATTTAAGATTGTTTAACAGAAACAATTAAAAATAATTAAAACTTAAAAAACTAACTTAAACAAATAATTAAATAAATATTTACCTTCAAAATCTCGTTACATAATTAGTTGCACATCAACTTACTTAAAACATCCTGTTAAGTCTAAATCAGATCTACTGAACTTAAATTGTACCTGGCCTATCGGCTTACCAACAATATGACTCCTACGGACTTTAGTCTTTGTTCAACTTATCTCTTTTTCAGTAATTCGCAAATTGATTCGTGAATCTCACTGTATATCCTCATTCAAACATTCATTCAACAGTCATCATACTACAGCACTGACTCTCACTTTAATTTAAAGCGGTCGTTTTCCGATGGTTTAGATAAAACACTACGGACACTTGACTTAGAACGGGATTTTTCCAGTCCCTAGAAACTATGCAGGTTCTTGCCCGAACTGTTATACCGTAACTCACACGTAGACAGTTTCAAAGAAGTTTGACAATTTATGGATCAGTTTCTTCTCCATTATTTTGCTCTAAGCGATGTGAGTTTTTAACCACGATTCCAACATCAAATGACCAAGTGGGACTCTTTCCTCACTCAAGCAAGGAAAGCTTCCCGGGATATCTGACCCTCGTGGTATCATTAGACTCAGGTGCAAGTACCAGTTTGAGGATTCTATCCAATCCACGAGCCTGACCGCTCCTTCCTCCTTATTAGTGGCCTCTTACGACACGCAGAGGGTAATGTTGGGATTATCCTCCTATTGATGTCCACACGGCCAACTAAGGAATATGTGGTGAACTAGTTCACCAGTAACTCCTCAATCTCCTTGGCTCGGATTATATCCCTTGCCAAGCATTCAAACAGTACATACACCAGTACATCAGCAACTTAAAATTCATCTGGACACTTAAAACCTTGTTGCTCATGTATCTGTCTGAGGTTCGTTCTAAGTTCGTTCCACTTAGGACAATCCATCAACATGTGTTCACTTGTTTCGGCCGGTTCGTTGTATTTGCAACTCAGGTCCACTTTCCATCTTAACTGCGTTAGAACTGGCTCTTGTAGTGATTCGGCTGTACCCAAGTATACTTGAGTCTCTAAACAGCTTACTGACAAGGAGCAAAACAAGGCACAAAAATCGTAGGGAAGTGAATCCAGACGTCAGCCATACACAGGTCGTGGGTGCAAAAGCTCCGAAAAAGGGAACTCCTAATCAAAAGTCGGAGACAACTCCAATAAGGAGGCCTTCATCGCGTAGGTTATTAAGGCGGTCGAAAGCATGGGTAAGGTGCAGTCTGTGGATCGAACGGTCGCACTTGTAATCCTCGACTTGGATTGCCTTAACCAAATAGAAGAGGTCCAGAGAGCGTCAGCTAAAGATCTCGAAAATCCAAGAAGCCAGAAGATGACGGTCTTAGAATGCAACAATCGAGGGATAAAGATCGCGGTTGTAGTTACCGACCCAGCAGAACCAGACAGGCTGGAAATATTAATCCGCATATAGATTGGTTTTATTTGTTGCTCAATCAAAAGAAGATTGATGGAATACGATGTCATCGCATTTTCTCTTTTTGATAAAAAATTAATAAAACATAATTAATGCAGAAATCAAAATTTACTAATGTTATTAGTTTTCATAATTCTTCTTATCTGCAAAGTTATTTTACTTCATATTTAATCTTAGTAATTAAACTGGTATTAAGTAAATTAGAAGCAAACTGAAAGATATGGATAAGACACGAGAATTCTAATCTCAAAAGTGCATACATGTAAGATTAATGAAGAGAAATCAAATTCTTATATTTTGTCACAACTTACAAGTGTCAAATACATTTTTTTAAAAAAAACAATGTCAAAAAATTTCTCATTTATTATATGATGAGAATGTAATACTGACAGAAAAATTATTATTTCAAAAAATATTTCATTTTTTTAGATTCAATTTGTTTCCTGTCTCTTTATAAATAAGCTAGATGTATTTTTATAACCTAAATAGGCGAACCACGTTAGCATATAAATATGTAAATACAGAGAGGGTGGTTAAAATGAATTTCTATCACCTCTCGACGTCTACTGGCAAATACGCGGAAATCTCACATCCCGTCCAAGGGTTGCTCCTCCTGAATGTATCCTTCCATGAAATTTCCTTCATAAATCCTTTCTCCCATGACGTGTTTGTCTCTCACAGGTTTATTGTTTTTTTTCCCTCCCTTTCCACCAACATGCTACACTATTTTTTTCATTTTTCTTTCCTCTCGAGATACTTGTGTTCCGCTCCCTTAATTTAAATTAGTGAAATTTCACTACAATTTAAATAAGAAGACTAATTTTACAATGAGAATATTTTATTAACTTGATAATGATGATTCATTTTTAAAATTAGTAGAATGATAATTTTAATTAACAATTAAATGTCGTTTGTAAGTTCAAAATTGCTTCATTTGTTCTGAAATATAATTAAATATAAAATACAATAATTCAACAATCATTTTAGAACATTAGTATTCATATGTATTTACACTACGGCACTTACATATTCATGTTTTTCTTGCGCATGGACTTTACTATATATTTGTCAGCAGAACAATATATTATATGTGCAGAGTGCACGTTATAAAACGTTTCATAAAACGCGTCGTGAAAACAAAGCCAAATGGTGGCGTTGGATGTACAATTTTTCATATTTCATTGTACAATTTTTTCTTTTTTTGAAATGTACATATTTTTGCAGCAGCAGGAAGCAGAAATAATATGACAACCTGTATTAACTTCTTATCTATTTTTCTAGAAGCATGTAATGCACTGTGAACATATGAAAGATGATAGTTAACAAAATGCCAAGTTATATAAATTATTATCTGTGTTGAAAATTGTGACATCAACAAATAGTTTATGTAATAATTTTACCTTTTCGAAAATGAATAGAAATATAAATACGTAGGTATAGTTTCAGAATTAATTTTCTCAGTATTATAATATGTTTTAATAATTAAATTTGAAAGTACAGAATGCCTACATCATAATTCCGAAACCAACATAGATAGAAACTCACAGTCCAATATTATGGAGATATGAACTGTGAATGTATATTTTCCTCTATGTAATATTATATATAATAGAATAAGAAATATGAATTGAATGAAAAATCATTTTAACATGACATGAAAGAATCTAATACATTTTCTGCTTCGAATCAGCGGTTTAGTATACATATAAAAGGACGTTAAAAGACGTGTCAAGAATTTTTTTTGATGCTTGAAAAAAGAAAGTACATGAAGTAAAATGACAGAATTGTACACGTTTCTTTTCGTAGATTAAAAAAAGGATGGTTGTAAAAATAAAATCGAGCATCTGTACAATTGGAAATGTATTTTCTACAAGTGGATATGTATCAATTTCTTTAAAATGCTGACGGAACTTTTTACTGCAAGACATTGTACAATCGGTACTAACCATAAATCATCATTTTTATATACCTAAAGAAATTTCGTAATCCGATTTTAACAACATGTTCTTCTTTTGTTAACAGTATGAATTAAAACCTTTTTAGTGTTGTGTAAAATAATTTTTATTAAATATAAAAAAACACAAAAGTGTTCTTGTACTTTTGTACTATTCACTTTCAATGGCTTAGAAATTTCTTCTTGCGGTTAGTTTAAATCTTTATCAAGAACATTAAAGTCACCAACTCTACGAGAAGGTGAAACCTTTTTTTGCATCTCGATTCACTCAAAGCAACTTTGCTCTGAACTTTTACTGGCAGTTCTACTGTGGGTGAACATTTTTTCAAATTTAAACAAAACGATTAAAAATCCAACTGATGATATTTGTCACCAAATTTGACATATTTGTGAGAAAGTATAACTTTATTGTATGGTGTGATAAAATTTAATTTTAATGTTGTAATTTTCACAGATGTTCAAACATTTCGTAAAACAATCGTATTTGACGCTTTATTTACGATAAATATTATTTTGTACATTACTAATTAGAATTTAATAATAAATAAATTTTTTATTGAATTTGTTACAGCCTGCCAACAATTATCCAGATCGGTCCAAGGAATTTTTGGTCCCTCAGATCCTCTGTTAGGTGCGCACATACAAAGTATTTGCGAAGCACTAGATGTACCTCACTTGGAAGCAAGAGTAGATTTCGAGCCTACTTTTAAAGAATTTAGTATAAATCTTTACCCCGCTCAAGATCATCTAAATAAGGCATTTAAGGACCTTATGTCCTTTCTGAACTGGACAAAAGTCGCCATTATCTACGAAGAGGATTATGGTAAGTTAAGAATAAAGTTATTATTAGTATTAGTAATTAAAGATTTTAAACACAAATATTTGTTAATCTTGTCATTGTAAGGAAAAACAAGATTTTCTTTAAGACTTCAAATTACATACAGATAATGTAGTTGAGGAACTAGCCAAAAAAGGAGTTAGGGAACAATAACAAATCCACCTTTTCCGCTACTTTGACTGAAGGGTACTGCAATGATAGACAGACGCCTCTATTAGGACCTCTATTACGCCCTTTTTTCCCCACAAAATAGACAATTACCAGAAAAACGCGCCAAATAAAATGGAGAGGCAGTTAGTTATAGTCGTACTGGACATAAATACACCCCAACAGGAGTGAGAGTGAGTTAGCGTTGACAAGCTTTGTGTGCTACCAAAAAGGACCAAACGGAAGTTCTGCTTCCAGACCAAAGTCTCACCCGTCCATACAATTACGAGCGTAATGCGTTCTAATTCCCTCTTTAGTCGTCTGTTACCAACGCGTGATGGGTTACAGGAAAACTATTCTCGAGCCAGTCAACCACGGCAGATTTACACATGATGGGTTCAATTTCACACAAGGCGAACACCAAGGCAGGCGCAGTGCGTTCAATACCTTTATCCTTTACTGAGGTGGAGTCCCGAAACTAGGACCGGATCATAGCTTGACGTTAGGATTTAAACAGTGAATGATAACGGAACACTTGAAGAAATGGCTGAAGATGACTAAAAGACAACGGAATAGCTACAGAACTACGGCCTGAAGACAAGTAAAAGACTAATGGTGATTAACGTAAACGCAGAATTCCGTAAACCTGATAGAAAAGAGGCGAAAATCATAATAATGCTGTTAAATGGATACGGAGATTTACGCTATCATAGGCATAAAATAGGAATTATAGAAGATCCTAAATGCCGCAAATGTAAGGAGAAACATGAAAACTCGAGGCACGTTCTTGTGAGGGTACATCAATAGATTAGAGTTTACATCTTCCTTGATGAAGTATTTATCGCTACTAAAGATCCTTACCGTGATTCCATTCCTCTGGTGAGGGCTATGGGCTCAAGCATAGATGTAGCAATGCAAGAACGTTAAGGGATTATCCAAGTGTCAGCTGCTGCTAAAGCAACCGATTTTAAAATAATAACAAAAACCTTAATTGGTAATAATGGAACTTCAGAAAGATACAAAATGTATTTCGCGCTTCGAAGTCAAGTTCTTCAAAGTAAACCTTAATTGTCAAAAAATTGAATTCATCTAATTCCTAATTCTTTTGTAGACATGATCTTTAGAACGACAACATACCTACAGGATTCCACACTTTGAAGTATGATAGAGATCATGTTATCAGGGTTGAATCGAGTCCCAACTGCCACAAACATGGCTACCCTGTCAGCGCTCTAGGGCTCGAAGGAAAATACCGGGTATTCTGCGTCGTCCATTAGGGATTTATAGCAATACACGCATTCCGGAGTTCTTCTTATTTTAAACCTGTAGAAGTACAGGTTAAAACAACCATGATCTGAGAACACTTGTGTCAGGCAGTAGCCAACTTTGCCTTGTTCTAGCTAATTACAAATTAATTGGTACTTTTTAAACATTATTAGAACCGCTGATCCAATATAGCGGACAAAAGTTAAAAATTGATTCGATTCAAATTATATCACTTTTAGTCAACTTCTTCATGGAAGTTAATCTCAATTGACAAAAATGGAACTCCACAAAGTTACAAAATATGTTCACAGCTTATCCAGGTCAATTCATGTCAACTTCTTCGAGGAAATTGACCTCAGTTGGGAAAAATGGATCTCCTAAAAGTCACAATGTGTATTCCGAGTATCTAGGTGACTTTTGGTCAATTTCAATTGTCACCGAGTAAAACAAAAAAGTCTCCGCCAATTGCTGGTAATCTTTTAACGTGTGAAAAACGATTAATCAATATTTTGAATATCGAAAAAACTGCTAATAAATTTTTAATGAAATTAAATAGTATATTTAGTATTATAAAGTAAATGAAATCTTCCTGCAGTATCAATTCTAAAAAATATACATAAAAAATAGTTAGAAAGTGTATTAAACTAAAAGTTTAATAAAAAACAATTCTACGTAATATTGTAAGTTTTATAAGTTAAAAATTTTATAAGAAAAAAAATAAGTAACATAAAGTTTTAAAAATTGAATTTACAGAAATAAATAAATGGAGTGGTATAGAGAGTGAAATAAAAGGTGTTAACAAAGTTTTACCTCAGAGAAAAGAATTCCTGCCGCGAAAGCTCTTATACTGTCAAGACGAAAGCAACTTATCGGCCTGTTTTATCTGCAGGCCGTTTTCTTCTCTCTCTCTCTTGGAACGGCAAATAAGAACGATAATGTACTACGACAACAAACGCAGACGTGTACAGCGACAAACCAGAGCTCGCGAAGTAGCAGAGATGCAAGCGTAGCTTTGTGTAAATTCAATTAAAGTCCCCACTGGGCTTTATATGGCGCATTTTTACTTTTATTCTGCCTCTTTTTTTTTAAGCACTTTTTTTTAAAAGAAAATAGGAGTAAGTCAAGAACGACAAAAGCGTGAAACTAGTTTTTCGTTTTTTTCTTCTTTCTTTTATAAAATATATAAAAAAAAACATGTTTTTATTATTAAAATTCCAGAAAGGCATCTTTTTAAATGGTTTTCTTATGAGAAATTCTATAAGAATGTAAAACTTGGTTTTGAGTATTATATTCAGAAAAATATTTATGTTTTCATGTTTTATATTAAATCCTTTATTAAATGCTAAAATAGTAAAGCCGTCAAATCCCTAGCTTCTAAATTTTCAATATTTTAATGCACTTTTTTAAAACTTTTGTACTAAATCACTAACAATACATATTGTAAAATTTGACATACATAATAAAAATGTCTATATGTAGAAATTTATTTTTTACACTTTTCGCCACTTCTCTCGAAAATCGTGATTTAAAAAAATGTTATATTTTATTTAATAACATGTGAAATTTCAATTTAAGTGTGTTAGTAAAATCAAATTTTTTATTTTACACAAAATCATTTATTTCTATAAAAAAAAATCTAGCATTTTAAAAATTAAAAAAAAACTTTTGTCCTAGTGGTCGATTGAAAATAATATTCATTCAACCCAAAACCTAATGCTAGATAAATCAACTAATATGTCAATAACATGTTTACTTATAGATGGAGTAACAATAGGTTTCTCTGCTTTAAACTAAACACCAAATATCTATCTATAGGTTGTTTTCCATTAATATTAACAAAAAGATCAGCAGTGGGATTACTAATAGCGCTAGTCGCTATTTAGCGCATTTCGTTATTTAGAATTAAAAACTTACATATTTTTAGTGAAATTTGTTCCAAATCATGGCCAAAATAAAATATCGTTGACAATTTCTTCAAAGCTTAAACTGCAAGATAGTAATTTAGAAGAAAATATGAACATAACCCCTCTAGATAACGACATTGACATAGAATTCATGTCAATTTCCTAAAATATTTTATCTACGTAGCAAACAAATACAACATGAAGGTGGAATCAATTCTCTAACTTCATGTTTGCCAACTGTTTGTTTAAAATAAAATAATTAACTAGTGACGAAATAAATTATACTTTATTATTGTAAATAACCTATTAATTTAATAAATAACAACTTTAAAAATAAATTATCTAGTTTAATGTTAAAATAATTTATAAAGGGAAATAAATTTTTTTAATTTAATTTAATAAATAAAAATTAAGAAAATTAATCTTATTGCAAGAATTAAAAATAATAATTGCATGAGATTCAAAATTAGGATATTCTTTACCAGCCTAAATTTAAAAATTGATAAATTTTTTAAATTAAATTAATTAATTATTTTTTAATTTTTTAATTAAATTAATTTAAATTTTCATTTTTTGAAAAACTCTTTAACTCACAAAAAATGCCCTATACATTTTATTAGTGAACTCTTGCGTGAGAACAAAAATTCTATTTCTGAGGTTATATCTTTAAAATTTTTTTCCCATTTTAGACAATGTCTAATAGAAAATTTTAATCCTATGAAAAAGATAATAAATATAAATGCAATAAATATTTAATTATTAATTTAAAAAAGAAAAGTAAATAGTTTATTATTATTGGATAAAGTTGAATTAGTTTCTTGATTTTTTGTAATGATAGAAATTGGAATTAAAAGTGTTATTATAATAATATTAATAATTATCGTTGCCTCGAATTGCCTTTTTATAACTTTTTGAGATTTGAAGTGTTACACTTGAAAAATTTGTCATCCTTTTAGATACTTCTTTTAATTGCTTCATTAATATGAATAATAATAATATCATTAAGCAGAAGTGTATAAATTTAAATGTAAAGTTCGTTTTTTAATTTTGTGGTTTTGTATGGTCTAAAATAATCCTTATATTATGTGAGAAAAATTTCGGTGCGTAAAGTAAATTTCAGTGCGTAAAGTAATATTTCAGTGCGTAAAGTGAATCACTTTACACACCGTTTGAAAAAGAGCTTCTTTACACACACTTTTCGGTGTGTAAAATTTAACTTTAGAGGTTAGTGTTGCAAAAAAAAAATTGTTAAATTATAAAATAAAGCAAATATGAGAAAAAAATACACAGAAAAACAATTGTACCAACCTAAATCTATCAAAATGATACCATTTTTTTTAGTCACCCGATAGCAAGAAAATTTTTCAAAGTGAATGTAGCTTTAAACCGTTACGTAGCGAAATCTTCGTAGCAATCAAAACTACATTCACTGTAAAAAATTTTTTAGCTATCGGGTGACTCAAAAAAATGGTATCATTTTGATAGATTTAGGTTGGTACAATTGTTGTTTTGTCTATTTTTTTTCTCATATTTGTTTTACTTTATAATTTAACAATTTTTTTTTTTAGAATCAAGAATGTATCAAATTCATAAGGATTTCCCACGCTGAAGAAATGAAGCAATTAAAAGAAATATCTAAAAGCCTGACAAATTTTTCAAGCGTAACACTTCAAATTTCAAAAGTTATAAAAAAGGTAATTCGAGGCAAAGATAATTATTAATATTATTATATTAACACTTTTATTTCCAATTTCTATCCTTACAAAAAATAAAGAAAATAATTCAACTTTATCCAATAATAATAAACTATTACTTTTCTTTTTTAAATTAATAATTAAATATTTATTGCATTAATATTTATTATTTTTCTCATTGGATTAAAAGTTTCTATTAGACATTGTCAAAAAATGGAAAAAAAAGTTTAATTTAAATCATTTTGAAGATATAACCTCGGAAATAGAATTTTTGTTCTCACGCAAGGGTTCACTAAAAAAATGTATAGGGCATTTTTTGTGAGTTAAAGAGTTTTTCAAAAAATGAAAATTTAAATTAATTTAATTAAAAAATAATTAATTAATTTAATTAAAAAAATGTTTAAATTTAGGCTGGTAAAAAATATCCTAATTTTAAATCTCATGCAATTATTATTTTTAACTTTTGCAATAAGATTAATTTTCATAATTTTTATTTATTAAATTAAATTAAAAAAATTTATTTCCTTTATAAATTATTTTAACATTACAGTAGATAATTTATTTTTAAAGTTGTTATTTATTAAATTAATAGGTTATTTACAATATTAAAGTATAATTTATTTCGTCACTAGTTAATTATTTTATTTTAAACAAACAGTTGGCAAACATGAAGTTAGAGAATTGATTCCACCTTCATGTTGTGTTTGTTTGCTACGTAGATAAAATATTTCAGGAAATTGACATGAATTCTATGTCAATGTCCTTATCTAGAGGGATTCTGTTTATATTTTTTTCTAAATTACCATCTTGCAGTTTAAGCTTTGAAGAAATTGTCAACGATATTTTATTTTGGCCATGATTTGGAACAAATTTCACTAAAAATATGTAAGTTTTTAATTATAAATAACGAAAAGCGCTACATAGCGACTAGCGCTATTAGTAATCCCACTACAGTTGCTTTATTTAAAGTAGAACAGTTATAACGTTTTTTTGTTTTCTCTTATTAATTATTATTATTAGAAGATATTTCACTTTAATTCGGAAAATAAACCACTAATGTATTAAACGATATAAATATAAATAATATGAATATGAGAGCATATGAATGCTTCAGTATCATCAACGTATCTGAAATATATAGCGTTGCTAACTCGTTTTTTAAAATATAAAATTGATTTTTAATTCATTCTTATTAGCATGTAGGGTATTATTATAAATTTGATCACAAATCTTATAGTTATAATAATTAATTTTAAATGAAATGAAAAATTAATTTAAAATTAAATTCAAAATCATTACAAAACTATGTTAGAGTAGTACAATATGTTTGTTAAATCACTATTTGTCTAGTCAAACATAAATTTGTGCCACGTCAATTTCATTGGCGAAAAAAACATTGTGTATACCTCTCTCGTTGTAGCATATGAACAATGATCTATTGCTTTTTCATTCTTTGCGTGTTTGAAAAAAGTACTGACATTCACTGTTTCGTAAATCCATTATTCTCGTCTATATGGTTTGTCATCGTTGCCGTCGCTATTCATAAAAATATATATATATATATAATATATCTACATATATTGTATAAAATTAAATATTTTAAAATTATTATTGATGCAATAAATTTGACATAAATATAGAAATATAAAGGGAAATGATAAAACTTTTTAATATTTTGTCTTACAATAATTATATATAGATATTTGTTGAATGATTATAATTCATACAATTAAAGAAACTTTGAAATAATATGAAACTTTTGAAAATTATTATTTCAGGTTTATTCAAACTTCAAGATCTTGTGAAGACGCCACCCTCAACGAAAACTGAAATGTATATACGTCAGGCTGGTCCTGATACTTACAGGCAGGTCCTTCGTGAAATTAGAAACAAGGAAATTTACAAATTAATCGTCGATACTGATCCAGCGCACATGCAACAATTTTTCAGAGCTGTAAGTAAAATAGTTTTTAATTTTTTAAAATTGGTTATTTTAATTAAATAAGGGGTTACGTTCCACTGTAGGAGGCTGAAATTTAACGTTTTCTTGCTATTTTTTTCGTGGAAGGAAAAAATAGAAAGATTATTAAATTGAAGGATATTGTTAGGCATATTTTTATGTTTGTAAAAATATTTTTTTTATTTAAAAAAGTTACAAAATGGCGATGTTACGGTCGTTCATCGAAGATGGTTTTTATTGGAGGAACTCCACTGCACACAGCACACAGGTTGCGAAAGTTAATCTGGAACAAAAGAAATTTTTTATTATTTTTCTAGTCACAGACTTCAAATATAATGCTCAATATAAATATATAAAAAAAATTATTTTAAAATTCAAGCATTCTTAAAAAAATGTTCTAGCATATTGGATCCGCCATTTTGAATTTTAAAATTTTACCATCATATTTGAATTCAGGGACCTCGAAAACGTTAAAGTACCAAGTCTCATTGAAATCTAAGCACTTTTTAAATTTTTCTTTTCGCCATATTGGATCCGCCATTTTGAATTTTAAAATTTTACCATCATATTTGAATTCAGGGACCTCGAAAACGTTAAAGTACCAAGTCTCGTTGAAATCTAAGCACTTTTTAAATTTTTGTCCGCCATTTTGGATCCGCCATTTTAAATATCATATTTGAATTCACCGACCTCGAAAACGTTAAAGTACTAAGTCTCGTTAAAATCTAAGCACTTTTTAAATTTTTCTGTCCGCCATATTGGATCCGCCATTTTGAATTTTAAAATTTTACCATCATATTTGAATTCAGCGACCTCGATAACGTTAAAGTACTAAGTCTCCTTAAAATCTAAGCACTTTGAAAAATTTTCGTCCGCCATTTTGGGTCCGCCATTTTGAATTCGCCATTTTGAATTTTGAAAAATGAACTTTAGTTTTGTATTCAGTGATCCTAAATGCTTACAAAAAAGTTGTTTTATTAAGTTTTACCATGATATACCGGTTTTTATACTTCAATTTACCATTTTTTCCTAAAAAATACTAACTTCACTCGACTCCCAGGAGCTCAAACAAATAAATCAAGGGTTCCCTATAATTTTCCTTTATTCTACATTTATTTAGCTTTATTTTGGTCCAAGGTTCATTCAATTTGGTCAATTTGTTCAAGAGACATTAGGTTTTTGAACATGAAATTGCAAAAATAACACACTGTGCGCAGGTAGTTGGTTTGGAGCAGCTGGAACGGCTTGGAAAGGAATGCAAAATTTCAAGGAAAAAATTTTCCGATCCATATATAACCTTTTGTTCCTTATTCTAGAAGGTTCAAAGAATTTTATAACCCAAAAAAATTATGATTTTTTGAAAATTCTACAATGGTGTGAAAGAGTCTTGCACCACTACTGAGTAGAGTAGTTCAAGGAAGTACTTGATAATTTCTCCCTGAACTGATATCTACCCCTTCTACCTAAACTTCTATCGCTTCAGCTAGAGTTCATATAGGGAGAATTGAGACAGATTTCCCTTTCCACTACTTTTTCACCTTACCAAAAGTAATACTTCTGTAGGGTCCAGTAAAAAAGTGCCGCCACCTTGCCGAAATTTTCAGTGCTGCCCACGGTAGATCTCGAGGTGCTCCTTGGATCTGTGCTAGTCTGGCTCACGATTATTATTTTATTATTTGCCATGTTCTCGTACTTGGAAAAGCTGACTAGAGGGAGAAATTTGTATGAGTGTTCCTGTCAAAGTTCATCTTTCGATTACTAGTCAGACTGGTGGTGTGACGTAGCCAAAGGGAGTGCTCTGGAGTGGGGTGTACATAGGTGCTCCTACCTTCAAACCTACCTTCACCTTTAGGGTGAACGATTAGGGACTGGTGATGGAGGGGATTAATAGAGGTGCTCCTCTTTAATCTCTTCCCTCCACCTATCAATGCCTCGTAAGGGTTGTCTATTAGTATTTTCTTAACATTCTTTATTTCCGTTTTCTTATGTCGGTCGACGGAATTATGTATATTTAATTAAAAATATACTTAACTAATTATAAACCATATAATAGGAAATTAATTTTTATTATAATAAATAATAATACTGAGAGATAGAAAATAATTTTATTAAAAAAAAAAAAATATGTTGTATAAATTTCTCTTATTACTGAACAACTTTTAAAACAAAATTTATAAAAATGTTTTCTGTAAGAGGTTCCAAAATTTTTTACAAAAAAAAAAGATTCGTAATTGCTATTTTTTTGCTGTATACTCTTATAGCAGAAAAATATTGTTATCAGTATAGGATCAAAGTTAAGCCAAACTGTTTGGGCAAATGCCAAAAATTGTAGAAACGACCCAAGGATTTTCGCTGCTTCTTCTTGCATTTCATACAATGTTCTTGGTAGGGATCAAAAATGCTCGTAAAAATTGATCTTTTAACATTAAATTCCAAACACGAAACTTCTTAATGTGAACCAAATATTAAGTGCAAAAGTATATCTTAAAAATTGTATTTTTTATAACTTTGTATGATTTTTACCAGTAGAAGAATAAAAAAAAAAAATAAAGAGATGTCTAAAAAACTTACAGGAATTCCTGTTTCAAAATTTTACAATAATATTTAAAAATAATATTAAATTTGAGAGAAATCTTTAAAAGTAATGAAAAAATTTACTAATTTAAAATGTCATCTTTCAATAAATGATACAACGATATATATTTATAAAGTATGATTCGAGGGAAAATATTTCATCTGTTTTTTGCAATGATTAAAAATATATTTTCATATCGATACTAATAAATTTTTAAATTACCCAAATAATCATACCAAAGCTTTTTATGGATTACGTAGAATTTATAAACCAGTCTGCACTTTACGTTTTACAATAATCCAATTGATAAAAGCTGATAATATATTTCAATATTTTTATTAAAAAAACCATAAATAAAATTTATTTATTTCTGTAGATATAAAAAAATGTTAAATTAATTCGTGATAATTTTTTAATATTTTCAATTTTTTAAAAATTTTACTTACATGTATTGAAATATTTTTTTAGAAAATAATTTATTTAAGTTAATTATATTTTTATAAAAGATTTTGAAAATGTAAATTTAGACATTTTTGAAATTTTATTGTCAATACAATAAAACTATAGAAATTAATTTGAGTGTTTATAAATTTTAATTTCCCTAATATTTTTTTTTTTTTATTGTTGAATAGTATATTCTTCATTTTATTTTTTAAATATTCTTGAAATACGCAGAGGTGTGAATGTTTCGTGAAAGAAAAAGTTTAAACTCTTTATCCTTTTCATTGCGAAAAGTGGATTGTATTTAAAAAGTTGTATTGTTTCTATAAGAGTTTGTCTTATCCTTTCATTGATCTTTGCGAGAAGGCGTCTTGTTAATGTTCTTTCTGGAGAAACTTACTTTATCATAAAGTTTCTTCTTTTCTAGATATACTCTTAACGAACTCTTTTAGGGAAAAAAAAGAACGAGAAAAAATAATGCAATAGTTAAAAGTCGTGAGTAGTTAAGGGTTATTATATGCCTTGACGATAAACTAAAAAAAAAATTAAAATACAATTAAAACACTTTTCTATTAAATAAAATTGAATTTTTTTTTAATTTAAAAAAATTTTTCTTCCCTCACAACAAAAGGATATTCAGGATATCCTTGGGACGTCCTGGGGATATCGATTTGTTTTCGGCGGTTTGGATATCCCTGGGATATCTTAGAGATGTCCATGGATATCCAGAGGATATCTTAGGGATATCCGAATCGCCAAAAGCAAATGGATATCCCCAGGACGTCCCAGGGATATCCTGAATATCCTTGTGTTGTGAGGGTTTGTTCATTTAGTGCATTGGATGATTTTTGATTTTTGTTTGTTTCAGATATTACAATTGCAAATGAACGATTTCCGATATCATTATATGTTCACTACATTTGTAAGTATTATGTACATTTTGAATTTGCATTAAATTTCTTCCTAAGTTTTATTTGTCTATAAATTTTATTTTGATAAATAAATAATATAATTTTTAACACATACGAGTAAATTTATTTTTCTTATCAATAATATATCAATTTATATTTATTATCAATCAAAGATTAAAAAAAGACATTCTCATGAAAATTTTAATTTTAAACATTATTACTAATGAAGAATAGATTATTAATTTAATTATTCTTTGCCTCTTAATTAATTTTAATAGAAAGAAAATAATTATTTAAAAATAAAATCAACTACAAATCAACTTTGAGTATAAAAGCATTTTGTGTATGAGGGATTTCCTTAAAGTTTTTGTTACGTTTGATGTATACACCAGAGATTCCACTATCTATGTTTGTTTAAGATCCCAATTTGCACAGAACGACGCAAACAAGATAGCTCTTAGAGACATGTTTTTTGGAATGGTAATTTCTCCATAAACACACATACACACATACACTAGAGTTAAACAAATTTAGCTCAATTCCCTCTATCTATATAAATGTTGAAGTCAAGATTTACGAAATGTTCACTCTCTATCGATTTAATCAATTTTCGTACATGGCCTAATAGACCCGACCTACAGCAAATCAAGCAGTTTCAACACTGCAAGCCACATAAGCTTTCGTCGACCAAATTACGTTGCATCTGTATTCAATTTAAATAAATTTAAATAATTAGATGTTTAAATGAAATCAATTTTTGCATATAATTTATGTTAAAATTTTTTTTAGATATTGAAATATTTCTACAGTAAAATGAAAAATTATTGCAATTTTTTTTTATACTTTTAGGATATAGAAACATTTGATTTAGAAGACTTCAAGTACAATAGCGTGAACATGACTGCCTTTCGATTGGTTGATCTTGAAGAGCCGAAGGTTGTCGAAGTTCTTCGACAAATGGAACGTTTTCAACCCATTGGACACGCTATTCTTAATAGAACTGGAATTATCCAGGTTAGTATAGAAATTTTGAAAAATTACTAAGAAATTGAATATATCTTTCTTTTAATTAATTGTATTATTATTATTATTATTATTATTTTTGTGTGTAACATTTCTGAAATCAATCTTTTGTTATAAATAGATTCAAAATCAAAAATTTTAACTTCATCAAAATTGAAAGAATGATTATGAATAGATCGATGTTCATTTAAAACAGATTCAATGTTTTTATTTTTGTGTTCTTTAATTCGCATTTCCAAACTGTGTTTTGATTCGCCGATGAAAGTTGTTAATAACCGGAACATTTGAAAGCAAGTGGTAGAAATGTGACTGAAATGTTCATGAAAGGAAATTATACTTTGAATATCGTTAATTTTTTATTTAATAATTAATATACACTATTAATACACTTTATATATATTTAAACGTATGTACATACATAACAAATTGAAAACAATATTATTTAAATTAAAATTATTTTATTTCTGACAATACCAGGAGTAATCCTGTCGCCATCAATAAGGCAACGATCGCCTTCACTTTAAATATACGAACCTTGTACCGTATTATTTAAAGTTATTTGAAGTTATTGAAAATGATATTGTACTTACATTGCTGACACTGGTGAGAACCCGTTTCTTCTTAGACCTATTGCTTCTATTTTCTTTAGGAGCTCCTATGGTCAACCTTTTCACTCACTGTCTTATTTGATACTACTCTTCTTATCCATAATTATTTCTAACGTAATTAGCCCAATCCCTTCTCTACTGCTATATGAGCTATCTTTCTCCTGACCTGGCCTTAAGAAAGGCGAAGATAACTAATAGTAATAAACGAACAGGTATATAATAATAAATGTTAAATTGACCTGAAGGATCTTCCGGCGTTAAAATAGACCGTACCTTTCTATCAATGAAAACTTTAATATAACGAAAATTATAATAAACGAAAAACTAAAAAATAATAAAATATAACTTTAAACAGAAATAAATTTATTATAACGGTAACAAAAGTAGTAGAGCAATTGTTACAATTAAACTTATAAACAATGCCAGTTTACTTTAATTTGTTTGTTTGGTCTTTGTCTATAATTTAACAACAGAACTCATTGTCAGGTTTTTGTTAACCTATGGAAGTGACAATAAATTATAATCTTTCAAGATGTTTGAATATTGCATATAATTGCTATTAAAATCAATGCTAACTTTTGACATTCGAATGTAAAACTATTGTTGATTTAAACTTATATGATCTTATTTTTAGATTTTTGTTAATAAATTCCAAAGGATATCCGTTCTAAAGAAAAATCTGTGTGTAACCTTCTTAATATTATTATTTTGAGAAGAATCATGTGATAAGCATGTGTTTCATGTTATGTTCCACAGGATATTTTTTAAAATAAACAAGAATAATAATTTTGAATGTACTTAAATTTAAATTTTGAAAACCTTGAGAACTTTGTATATTCCCTAAGATGTTTCTCGATTTAACTTAATTAAAATTCATGGGTGAAAAATATAATATTAATAAATGTCAGTTCAAAAAATGAGAAATGTGTGAATTAATCCTTTGCTTAATTTGATGATTATTATGATTTCTGAATTTTATTTTGGAAGATTAGTTTCTCTAGCTACGCAGAATTTTTTTTATTCTTTTGCAATGGTGTCTTACTTTAAAAAGATGCTGCTGACTAGATACCCTTGTAACACTGTCCTTTGGAAGAAAAAAGGCGTACAGGTGTCTCGCTTTCGATTTAGGGTTGCAATGACTGTTCTCCGGTTCGTAAAACTTATTAGCGTTAGCACAACACTGGGGTTGATATTTCCAGTAAAAGACATAACTCGCATTGACGTTAAGCTATGTAATTAATGATAATCAGTAAGGTAGGAAAATACTTCTGATCAGTTTAAATTGAAGAAAATCATTGCTTCTTCTAGTGTCAATTTTAGTTTATTAATTTAAAATTGGTTTTTCTATTAAAATACAACTCTTTTATTCGTCTACTCTTCAATTTTTAGAAACATAAACCTCAACATTTAACAAGACATATCAAGTCGCTTTGACTTCATTTTTTAGACTGCTTCATATCGGCTAAAATAGGCATAAGCAAATAAATAAATAAACCATAAAAATTGTTTTAAAATCATTTTTTCCCATCATGAGTCCAATCATCAATGCAGAGCATAACTAAAAGTTATTTATAATTATTTTTCATTAATTGTAATATTCTATTTAATTCTTAATATTTTGAATTAATGTAAAATAAGATTTAAAATATCAAGTTGTTTTATATTAAATTTAAAACTTAAATTAGTTAAAGTTTACTGATTTTAGTAATTAATAAAATGATTTTTATAAAATTGTACCCATTTACGTTTTACAAAATAAAAAATTTTATCTCTCCGAGTAGAGCATTTTATCCTTTAATCCGACGATTAAATTCATAACATTTTATCTTTGTTTTCTTTCACGTGCGTTTCAATTTGTTTTGATGGAGTTAATTGATTTCCATGCCTTTTATTTCAGTTTTTCTTACTTATTTTTCTTTAAAAATTTCATATCGTCAGTTATCGACAACTCCTGTCGACGTTTTCCCATGCAAAATATTAATATGTTTGAACTAGTCAGGTAAAAAAAAAATAATTTGATTTATTTTTTAATAATATTGTTTAATCTTTTGAATCAACTCTTTTCTAACTTGAAGTGATTTTTTATTTTTAAATAAACAGTAGCCTGAAGAGCATAGCAAATGTTACCTATGAAACGCCACCTTTGATGTAAAAGATTGGAAAATTTATATTCCATTGACCTTTCTCTTATCATTTATTAATTTACTCACTTAAAAAAAGGGGAAAGAAATAAATAAAATTTATTATTACATTATATAACTTTTTATGTTTCTATATAATTGAAAAATATATTATATTTTTCATGATGCGAATCACATGAACTATATAAAATGAAATTTGATTTCTTCTTTAAAAATATAGATCTGAGCCGGATTATAAAAACCAATTTTACTTTTCATTTTTAAGGGGGATATTAGTATATTTTAAAATAGCATTTTATCAATCTGCCAGTTTAAACAGAATGTATTATAGATATTCTCCTTTTTCAATATCATTATCAAGTGCTACACTTATAGTAGGTCCAGAATCAACTTGAATGCTTTGTTAAATGATGGATTTTATCAGAACAATTTTTTTTAAATTTCCAATAATCGTCTTTGATAAAGTATTTATTTGAAATTCTTTTTCATACTTCAAACATTAGGGTAATAAACATTTATAATTAAGTCGACTATTGGAAAAAAAAGTTATTTCTTTACAATTTTCCCATCACAATCAAAATCATTTCATAACAATCTAAAGCCATTTGGCTTTAGATTGTTAGAGGTAGAGAATCTATTTTCCTTGTAATGCACGTAACGATGAGTTGAAATCAATGGAATGAAATAGAATTTGGGTTCAAAGGACAATTTACTGGAAGAGGATAGTAATTTGAAAGGACTAGGTACGGATAAAAGCTATGGAAACTGAATGTCAGTCTTATTTGTAATTCAATTGTGTTAAGAGAAATTCAATTTGTTTGCAAACATATTATTCAAGTAGATTTGAATTCTGACTTCTAAACAAGACAAAAAGGATAATCAGATGTCTAAGCTCAATACAGATTTATATTGAAAGTTAAGTAACTATTTCTGAATTTTTACACATCACACAGCAACTTAAAACTTTTCTTCATTGGTATTAAAAAAAACTCAACTTTTTAAGTAAAATGAATTTATATTTTTAAATTACATGATAGCAATAATTTATGTTTTAGGCAGAACCAGCTCTTGTGTACGATAGTGTACAAGTTTTCGCACATGGATTGGCTGCACTTGATGGCAGTCATATTCTCAAACCTGCAAATTTATCCTGTGAAAAAGAAGAACCTTGGGGTGATGGATCGTCCCTTTACAACTACATTAACTCGGTAAGAATTGTCTAAATAAATTTCTACTTATAATTTCTAATCTACATGAATTATAATCGATTAGACTATCATTGATAATAGTCTAGGTGATGTTATAGTAAGCGGGAATTTTTACTAAAGAATATTTTAATGGCCAAATTATTGAAATGAAAACGTTTTTTCCTGAATATAAGAAAGAGGCAAGGAAAAGGCGTTTCACATTGGTCGTTAGCGGACAGTAAATTCTGAATATAATTATGATTATTGGCATATGAAAAGATTTCTCTACACAAAAGAATGGTCATTTGAACTTTACTTTTCATTTATAATAAACGCCTTCATAAAATGATTCATTAAATTCATATTTAATTTTAATTCCATAATTAGAACGAAATTAGTTGTATAAATAGAAAAAAGAATGGTTAAACTTTTTCCAACATTTTTTTTAAAGACAGTAAATGTTTTCAAAAAAAAATTATTATAATTAATGCAGTTTTAGGTTTTAAGGATTTAAAATTTCTATCAACAATTGTATTTTAAAGATTATCAATCTATTAATTTAATTATTACTTTTTAAAATATTTAAACCCCTTGAATCCACCTTGACTAATCCAATGTTATCTACTGAAACGGAAAATACTTTCACGGAGGAAAAGAAGATAGAACTATTTTACCTGCCATGTGAGCAGTTGCGTTAAATACGAATCAGCTGTGCAACTTGGTGTGAAAGTACGCTGCTGTTTCTCGAAGGATGAACAGATTTCCTTGAGAAAAGCAAATGCATTTTATCAGAAGTTAAACATCGCTATTTGTGTGGAAATAGAACAGATACTCCTCCAAAAAGTGAACTAATTTACAAAAGCAATACCATTTCTGCTTTTTGTATGGGAAGAACAACCCGGTGCTCCGAGGTTATGTGGGTATGACCGTTCTTGTTCAGGTCGACCCACTAGAAACCACACTCTTTGGATGGACTAATCCTTACACTACGGAACTGCCGTCAAGCTTTAAACTTCGTAGGTGAAGGTCCTTGGGATCTTGCTATCGCAACCCTTGTCGTTGCCTATCTTTCTGGCCTACTTGGCTTTGGTTCTTGCGAGAGTCTTCTTGGCTTTCGCGAGAGCTGACCTAAAGACTCTGCATGCTCCACTTCCAGCAACGTGGTTGAGAGGAACCCTGTCGCCGGACTTTGCTTTGCACAAGAAACAACTGGGGCTGCTCTTGCAATCTGCAAACTTATGATCAACTTCCCCGCACTTAAAGCACGCAGTCGATCTGTCTGCTTTCTTGCAGCTTCTTGCTACATGGACGTAACCCAGGCATCAGTGACACCGGACGACCATGAGTCTGTTTCTTATTTGGCAGCACATAAAGCAGCAGCACATTTCTCCAGTCTGGCAGCCTCTTCTTGGTCGGTGAAAACAACTGCGAGGTTCATCCCTCGCTTGTTGGGTCCTAAGACCATCACCTTCCTGCTTCCTGGCTTTCCGAGTTTTCGTTCCAACGCTTCCTGGACTTCTGCTTCATGCGTAAGGAAATCCAGGTCGCGGATCTCGAGTGTAACCGCCAAGATGTCTGTAGAACGTTCCAAAGTGTCCTAGGACATTATGGACTTCAACTTTCTCGATTCTTAAAATCGAACTGAGCTCCTCTTCACCCCACATTATTTCCAAAGTAATTAGTCCTATCCCTGCTCTATGGCAATGTCAACAATCCTTCTTATAATATGACCTTGACAAAGGCGTAGATAACTAATAATAATAAATAAACAGGTAATAATGCTAAACTGACATGAAGTACCCCATTGCGTCAAATCAAACCTGAACATAAGTCATATGTCCTTAAATGGACACAAAATAAACTTAATTAATATGCGAGACATATAATTCATAATAATTTGGAATATCATGTATACATTAATGAAATGAATATAATCGTATGTCAACAAAATTACTCCATAATACTAGATACCGAGAGGAAAATCTACGCGTAGACCCTTGTGACACACTCTAGTACTGAGTGTTTGTAAATGGATTTATGTTGGCATGGCCAAACGTAATTCATTCCCCATTGGCGTGTGCATGAGCTGATTCGGGATACAATGTAGAGTTAGTGCCAACCCTGAGGTAATTAACGCACAAATCTGCCGGAGCGAATCTACTGGAAAATTTCTGAATAGCCGGCCTTTCACGCCTGCATTGTACCACGAAGATGAACATACCTAAATCAAAATTAATTCAGTGTCAAAGAAAAATTCTTTATCCAAATTATTTCCTCATTTCATCAATTTTTTTTTTCAATTCCCCCAGTGGTCGATTTTATATCATTAGGTGGTGCAATTAAATTTTTTTTGTCCATTACAAAAAAATTATTTTTTTTCATTTTACGCAGAAAACTTTATTTTAAATTCATTCTATCTATGTACAAAAAAAAATAGATTTGTGTCTATTGATAACAACTCTTATTGAAATTTATTTATGCGTAAATGTATTTGACTTAATGTGATGCATAAAAAAGACTTCTCCTTTATGCTATGAAATCTTTTCTGTACATCAAAGATCTCTTCAAGTTTTATTCATATCAATTTAACAAATACGAGAACCAAATTTAATTCAATGCACAAATACTTCTTTGAATGAATAAGGTTTTCAAAACTTGATTCCCAAGCAAAGAGCGAGGCAGAGTTTGATCTCTTTAAACCTCTTGGAGTTACATTATATATATATATATATGAAAGCACAAGCATATCATTTTTATATATAAATTCTGAGACGTCCTTATGTATTTACATTTTCAGTTGGGAAAAAAAAGTTGAGAGAGTATGTTAAAATCGCAATATCAGTTTTCATTTAAAACAAGAGGGTTTTACAAAATTTTATACGTGTATCTTTCTTAATGAACTCCACTTCTCAGTAAAAAAGGAATTATTGAGCAAGCCGTTTGGACAATCGAGCAAGCCGTCTGCTCAATTGTCCAAACGACATCTGCAGTGGGATTACAAATAGCGCCAGTCGATATGTATACCGCTTTTCGTTATTTAGAATATAAAACTTACATACTGTTAGTGAAATTTGTTCCAAATCATGACCAAAATAAAATACCGTTGACAATTTCTTCAAAGCTTAAACTGCAAGATGGTAATTTAGAAAAAAATATAAACAGAATCCCTCTAGATAAGGACATTGACATAGAATTCATGTCAATTTCCTGAAATATTTTATCTACGTAGCAAACAAACACAACATGAAGGTGGAATCAATTCTCTAACTTCATGTTTGCCAACTTTTAGTTTCAAGTAAAATAATTAACTAGTGACGAAATAAATTATACTTTAATATTGCAAATAACCTATTAATTTAATATATAACAACTTTAAAATTAAATTATCTAGTTTAATGTTAAAATAATTTATAAAGGGAAATAAATTTTTTTATTTTAATTTTATAAATAAAAATTAAGAAAATTAATCTTATTGCAAGAATTAAAAATAATAATTGCATGAGATTTAAAATTAGGATATTCTTTACCAGCCTAAATTTAAAAATTGATAAATTTTTTTAATTAAATTAATTAATAATTTTTTAATTAAATTGATTTAAATTTTCATTTCTTGAAAAACTCTTTAACTCACAAAAAATGCCCTATACATTTTTTTAGTGAACCCTTGCGTGAGAACAAAAATTCTATTTCTGAGGTTATATCTTTAAATTTTTTTTCCCATTTTAGACAATGTCTAATAGAAACTTTTAATCCTATGAAAAAGATAATAAATATAAATGCAATAAATATTTAATTATTAATATAAAAAAGAAGAGTAAATAGTTTATTATTATTGGATAAAGTTGAATTAGTTTCTTGCTTTTTTGTAATGATATAAATTGGAAAGAAAAGTGTTAATATAATAATAATTATCGTTGCCTCGAATTGCCTTTTTATAACTTTTGAGATTTGAAGTGTTACACTTGAAAAATTTGTCAGCCTTTTAGATACTTCTTTAAATTGCTTCATTTTATCATCGTGGGAAATCCTTATGAATTTTATACATCCTTGATTCTAAAAAAAATTGTTAAATTATAAAATAAAGCAAATATGAGAAAAAATACACAGAAAAACAATCACCAACCTAAATCTATCAAAATGATACTATTTTTTCAGTCACCCGATAACTAAAAAATTTTTTAAAGTGAATGTAGCTTTGAATCGCTACGTAGCGAAATCTTCGTAGCGCTGTCGCTATTTGTAATCCCACTCCTGGACAATTAAACTCCTTGCTCAATCATCCAATGCATTAGACCCAATCAACCTACGCATATTTAGAGGCTACGCAAAGGAAAAATTGACTTAACTTTATATAAAACTTAAAAAACAAGTTGTAAATTCAGATGTTCATTACATGAACATTTTGCTTCCTCTTTACGATCAGCAAAAAAATTTGCTTCCTCGTGGAGAAAGCAAAATTTTATTGCCAAAATGTGATTTTGATTTTTTAACTTTCATTAATTCTTTAAATTTACCTCAAATGTATACTTTATATATATCGATCGATTCGTCTTGACGTAAGAAATACGATTTTATTATATATAACCTTAAATTTTTCTATTTAAAAATTTTTTCGATTAAAAAAAAATTTTTGGAAAAAAGAAGATAAAATTTTTTTTTGGGGGTATTTTTCAAAATCCTTTGGTCAGATTTGAGATATCAATATGATAAATGAGCTTACCAAATTTTATCTAAATCCATTAAAAACAGTTAAAGTTATCTTCTAATCGAAAAAGGGATCCACACACACACACACATACATACATCCGGACAATTGATCAGGATCTCATATAACATGTTTCTATAAAGAAAAAAATTTGTTTCCGCCACTTTGAAAAGTTTTATAAACGAAAGGACTACAAAGCTTCCTCCACGAGGAAGCAAAATTAATAAAAATAGTTAAATATTGAAAAATAAACTGTAAAAGAATCTGTAGTTGTCAAAAACGACCAATTTTTTGAAATATTTTTTTTTTTGGTTACTGTGCATGTGATTCTGCAGGTAAAAGTATATTTCTTTACCAACACTCGATATTTATTAATTTGAATTTTCTTTTCTTGCAGAAGGAAATAGTTGAATTTATTGTATTTTAATGTAATCACTTTATTTATAATTCTTTTCATAATAATTATATGTTTCCTTCTTCAAAAATAGAAATTTTCAATTAGTAAATATCAATAGTTAGTAACAAAAGTTTACTTATACCCATAGAATCATATGCGCAGTGTTGCACTGTCAACAAAAAAGAATAATATTTCATGAAACTCTTTGTTTTTCCTTATTACAGATACTTTCATTCTTTATTTTTCAATATTTATCTATTTTTATTAATATTTTTAAGTTTTATATAAAGTTAAGTCAATTTTTCCTTTGCGTAGCCTCTAAATAGGTGTAGATTGATTGGGCCTAATGCATTGGATGATTGAGCAAGCAGTTCAATTGTCATGTCGTTAGGCCAATTGAGCAGACGGTTTGCTCAATAATTCCTCTTTTACTGGATTGATTTTTAGTAGCCTTTGAAACATATACTCATGTTGTGAAATATTTAATAAAAATATTTCCTCTTAAAACTTCACTAAATCGTAAAGCAAGTTAATTATATATAAAAAAGTCTATTAACAATATTTTATATTCAATTAAAAGTGGAAAAGTATACATTTTAATTTTGCCACATAAAAATTATTTAATAACTTTTGAAAAATATGAATTAAATATTGTTAAAAAATATCTTGTTTATTGAATAATAAAAATTTCCGTTACAGGCAGGCCTACATGGACTGACTGGACGAATAGAATTTAACGAAGGAAAGAGAAATAATTTCAAGCTGGACTTGCTAAAGCTTAAAAGGGAAGACCTCGTAAAGGTTGGCGAATGGAAGCCAGGAAGTGGAGTAAACGTTACCGATGTTGGAGCTTTTTACGATACTACAGCCACCAACATTACCCTTGTCGTAATGACGAGAGAGGTAATGTTTCTTTTTACTTAAAAAAAAAAGAAGTTCTCATCATATTTGCAGAGGTTTTTGTAATTCTCATATCTCATAGAAAATTTGTTTAAATTTATAAGAGGAAATATACTTTTGGAAAAAAAAATTCCCATATTTACTTTAATTAAATAATTCTCATTACATAAGAGAAAGGGAAAAACTAATTTTAAGTTTTTTAAATTTTAGGAGAAACCATATGTAATGGTTCGCGATGATAAAAATCTTACGGGAAATGCAAAATTTGAAGGATTTTGCATTGATTTATTAAAATGGATAGCAGGACAGGTGGGATTTCAATACGTTATTCGATTAGTGCCTGATCATATGTATGGTGTTTATGATCCCGAAACAAAAGAATGGAATGGAATTGTTCGAGAACTTATGGAAAAGGTAAGAAATTGTGTCGAACTTTGCCAGACTTTGATTTTAATTATTAATTTAGAGGATAAAAGTTCAACTCACGACAGTTGACACAATATTATACTCCAGAAATTCATATAATTAGAAAAAAGATTTGACGAATAGTTGCGAATAATAAAATTGAGACAAGCCATTTAGGTTAGAAAATTATAGTAAGAAAATGCGATGCAGCTCATAAATTAAATTCGCGTAAATTATAAGGAGACTTACATGTCTTATGGAAGCTTCTTTCTAGAAGTCTCATAAACGTTAGGGATTTTCACTCATTAGGTATGAAACCTCGCTTTCCCCTGATTTTCAAAATCGACCGCGATTATAATCGCAATCTTTGAGACACTTTTAGTGGGGTTTGATGACACCGGAATATTTAATTCGATCAACGACCAATGGTCGCGGTAGCTATCAGGCTAGCGCCTGGCGCGATAAATTATGAAATGAGAAAAACCACCAGGAATGGCATATTTAAGCCAAAGAAAAGAAAACGATTTTAATTGTTACAACATGTTATGTTTATATATAAGTTTGAATAAGTATTAGCAATATTTTACAAAAACAAAAATAATATTCGTTCTTTAATTTCATTTAATTGACAAAGATATTTGAAAAGTTTAAGTCCAGCGTAACAAACAAACCTAGATTTTTTTTTTTTTTTTTTTTGAGATCGACAAATCATTATCCGCTGTTTTTAAAAATGGACTAAAATTTGGAAAAATTAAACTCTACTAAAACTTTTGACAGAGATTTAATTGGCGTATTTTATAGACCACGGCATCAAAAACTAGGGAAAACAACTTGACGATATCAAACATCAAAAGAAAATTTTCAGGTTTCTATAATTAATGATATTATATGAAAAGATTTGATTTTGCTTAGTATATATTATATGCTTTTTACAAAACAATTTTGCAGTGGTCTAGAGGATGCTTTGAAGTCTAGATAAACCTTAAATTCGTTGCAGGTAGCTAATTGGTAATCTGGATATTGAAGGTCTGTTGCTGAGTCAATAGTCCTTAATACGTCCCTTTGCTTATAAATCCATTTGGCATTAAATTGAATATCCTTTGATTTATAAATAAAAGTCTAATGCTACTAATGATTTTAGCATACAATTTGAAATTTTAATTATTATTATCAGAATTAATTGTACAAGAAAGTATTTTTTTTTTTAAGTATATTACAATCTAACTGTTTATTGTATTAGTTTTCAAATAAAAAAAATCTGATTTAGAAAAATAAAAGAATCTTTTAATTATATATATATAATTGAAAAATCAAATTGCAGTTTATTAAAGTAGAAGAATAGCTCATAATGCAAGTAATTACATTTTCTCACAATAATATTTCATCAATCTTCAGTCTTGATCAGAAAAAAAATAAATATGAAATTCCGTTTTCTATTATATGAGAGAATATACAAGTTGTCGAAAATGTATAGCATATAAGAATGAAAGAAACTTATAAACAATAGAGTCTAAGAAAATAAGACAAAAGTTCTTCTCTGTTTTCAAAACAATAAGGAAAAAGATATCTTTGAAATTAAAAAAGGAATATGGACATGAAGTGCCAAAGCTGAAAGCAAGCGAAAGATTTTATGGAGAAACTTGAGTCTCTCTCTAAAAGTCATCTCGAAATCTATGTCATAAAAGTTTATTCAAGAATTTTTTTATGAAATTATTTATTATTGTTTCTATAAAAAAATTTATTTATTATATTTTTTAAATATAGTAGAGGAATTAATTTTTCCAGAATTACACTTTTACACATTTTCTAAATTAAAATGCTAAAATTTTTAAATATTCTTTTATTTAAACAACTTTAATGTTGCTGACCAACCTCATCTTCTTTTTTAATCCATTTTCTGACCCTTTATGTTACTTGATAATTATTTTTCTGTCTTTATATTACTTTATTTATATTTTAATTATTTTTTAAATTATAAAATTTTTTTAATTTCCATTTCAGAGAGCAGATTTAGCCGTTGCGTCTATGACAATCAATTATGCTAGAGAAAGTGTAATAGATTTCACTAAACCCTTTATGAATCTTGGCATTGGAATATTATTTAAGGTGAGTGACTTAAAAAAAATATCAATATAAATAACATTTATTTAGATAATAATTATATTTAGACATAAATATAATATGTAGATTCTCCTTCAATATCACTTATATGTATAATCTAGAATGGTTTTCCTTTGTCTGTGAGAGAAAAATAAAAATTTTCAATATATAATTACAATTATCATTGCGTAATTACATACAAAAAGCAAACATTTTTAATGATTCATTGTTTCTTTAATACAATAATGTTAAAAATGAAAAAAAGTTACATGTATTTTGTGAACTATACATATATATATCAGAATTTATAATTACTATGTAAACATATTCGCAACGGTGTATTTAAAGGATGATACATATTCATTTCTATTTAAAAGAAATCCTTTGTAGTTATATTTAAAACTTTCATATATAAAAGAGAAGTGAATTTTGTGCTTTATAATAGAATGTGAGATTTAAAAATTAATAAAGTAAGAGGAAATTTAATTTATTTTTTGCAAAATTTTAAAGAAAAAATTAATATTTTTTTTATTCTTTTATTTTTATAGTCTTTGATGGAATTTTAATTTTTTTTAACGAATCAGTGAAAATAATGAAACTCATTAAATTGTTTTGCAGTCTCTTCACTTTCGGATAAATATCTAATGATCTCTATAGTCATATAGAAAATTTTAAAGTATTTAAATAAAATTCAACGTTTTTATATTAACCCTTTGAAGCATACATTTTTCTTTAACAGGAATTTATCTTTGAAGTGCATTATAGGGGGTTTTAAGGGTCGCTGATTACGAATCCGATGTCAGTTTTATAAAATTCAAAATGGCGGACCCAATATGACGGACAATTTTTTACAAATTGTTCAAATTTGCTCGAAACTGGTTACTTAAGGGTTTTCGGGGTCGCTGATTACGAATCCGATGTCAGTTTTTTAAAATTCAAAATGGCGGATCCAATATGGCGGACAATTTTTTACAAATTGATTAAATTTGGTCGAAACTGGTTACTCAGGGGTTTTCGGGGTCGCTGATTACGAATCCGATGTCAGTTTTATAGAATTCAAAATGGCACACTCACACAATAGCGCCATTTTGAATTATAAAAATCCAAAGTCATATTCATAAACAGCGACCTCAAAAACCCCCGAATAACAAGTTTTAAGCAAATCCGATCTATTCTTCATTTTGTCATCCGCCATATTAGATCCGCCATTATGAATTTTGATAATACAACATCATATTCGTAACGAGCGACCCAAAAAACCCCCGAGTAACAAGTTTCAAGCCATTCCTATAAATTATGTCTAAAAGTATTTCAAATTTGAGAACACAATTTTAGATGTCCCAGTTAAAAAATTTTGTCTCTATAAAAAAATAAGAAAATTTTTATCCTGGAAACTACCAGTCTCAACATTTTTAACTGTATAAGTAAATTCATTTATGAATATGTTAGCGCATATTCATAAACAAAAAATGGTGCATATATGCATTATAACATATATATCCTCTTTAAACACACTTACAGATGTTTTCGAAAGTAGCATATGTAGATACATGTGGAGGAAAATATGGTCGTGCTCGGAACTTGGACATTAAATCTTAAGTTACATTTAAGTTTATTTGTTTCAAAAGTTTAATCTCCAATTTTCGGGCTATTACGAAAACATAAGTTATGAAAAATTTCAGCTCAATAATTTCAAACATATATGTGTGCAAAATTTTCTTCTCTTAAAAATGGTTAAACTTGTATAGATAATTAATTAGAGTACATAAACTTTATAAAATAAATTCTGACAATTTTGCAAAACATTTAAATTAAATTAATAAATCTAATTAATTTTCTATTTCTATTCAAAATCTTTCATTTTGTTTTTTATTATTTATTTTATTTCTAAATCTTTTGTTTTGCAATAAGTTGGAATTGAGGAATTTTATATTTCGAAATAATATGAGTAAAAAAAGCCAATCAGCAATTATCTATTTTAATTTAATATTTCATTATCTATTTTTATTAAAAATTATATAAAAAAATTATTCATTATATAAATTTTATTATATTACTTACAATAATAGCTGCAAATAAGCTTCGAATTTAATTTCCATTCGCCAAAATACCACAGAAAAAAACACCTTAGACATTATTCAATGATAAAAAAATCTATATTACTTTGATTCTGATATTTAATATTAATATTAATATTTTCTGATATTTCTTAATATTAATTTGCGAATAAATTTTTGAAATTTATTTACCTAATATTTTGACAGCACAATTAAATTACATTCATTAAATTAAAAAGAAATAAAATGAAAAATATTTTCTAACCTACAAAATTTTTTAATGGATGCTTTAAGATGCATGAATTTACAAAACTTTTCGAATTATAAAATTCCTACTTATCGACGTTTATTATCAATTTTGTCACTTTTTGATTTTAATCTCACAAATTCCTTCACTTTCTGAACTTCGTCGGTATATTTATTTAGGAAGATCGCTTTGTTTACTCTTCGTCGAAAATTCTCATGTCACACGAAATTTCCCGATGTTGTCAAGTACTGCTGGAGTCATAAAGCGACCATTAAAATTTAGAAAATTGTAACTTCACAACTCCAGCAGTTTTGAGTTCGTTATCCCTGTGTAGTCCACTACCATTTTCTAAATAAGTAAATAATATAAATTCTAACTCATCTATGATTTGGAATTGTTTTTGTATCCCTGTCGGATCTCGAAATCGGAATGTACGCTGAATTCGTTGTACATTCGTTACACATTGGTTAAACATTTAGTTGGAGTGAAAATTGTGTAGAAACTGAGTGGAAACTGTGGAAAAGTGTAATTAAATTGAATAATAAAAGTATTTAGTGATAGATTTGTGCTGTATTTGTGATAAATTAACGTGTTATTATTAAATAAATAAAGTTTAAAGTGTAAAATGTTCGCATAAGTGAGTTTGACAGGCTAGGGAATTTTCTAGTCACATCCAATTGATAGTCGATAAAGAAGTTGAGCCGCCGACTTTGCACGGTAGGTGGCAGCATTCATACTTTCTCCTTTTTAAAAATTCTCTTTTTCAATTGTAAATAGAAAAATTGATTTATTAATAAGTTATATATTTTCTATGTTGTCATTTTTTTTAACAATTGAATTTTTGAAGATTTTTTAATGAGATAAATTAAACTTGTATAATCGATGCAAATTGTTGTTTTTAAAATACTTTTAAATAAAGCTTTTCTTTTAATTACATTTATATTAAAAATAAATAATAATAAAATAAAGAAAGATGAAAAAAGTTTTCTTTATTAAAATTATGATTAAATTAATTTAATTGAATTTAATTAAAAAACAACAATTTGCTTCGATTATACAAGTTTAATTTATCTCATTAAACAATCTTCAAAAATTCAATTGTTAAAAAAAATGACAACATAGAAACTATATAACTTATTAATTAATTAATTTTTCTATTTACAATTGAAAAAGAGAATTTTTCTACACAATTTTCACTCCAACTAAATGTTTAACCAATGTGTAACGAATGTACAACGAATTAAGCGTACATTCCGATTTCGAGATCCGCCAGGGATCAGTAAAATTATTTAAAACTTTGTTAAAAATTCCTTCTTTAACAAAATATATTCATGTAATTGAATTTGAAGTTTGATTTGAATATGTTTATATAATTAAATAAATACTATAAATTTTTAAAACTGCTTTTTGTGTGTAATGTTCTCTTAGTAATATCTAATTGTCAAAAATGAAACACATATGTTTATATAAGAAAATATGAAATTAAATTATATCACTTAAATCATATGAACGTGTGATGGAAAATATTAGGGGAACCGTTTTAATTAAAATCGCAGCGTAACATAATTTAGGTACCATCTAGTCAGCCAACGAGGCTCTTCTCGTTCATGAATCCTTTGGCTGTGGAAATCTGGTTGTACGTACTTGCAGCCTACATGTTGGTTAGTTTTACTCTATTTGTGATGGCACGATTCAGTCCATACGAGTGGCACAATCCACATCCCTGCCTTGGAGAAAGTGACATTATTGAAAACCAATTCACCGTCAGCAATAGTTTTTGGTTCATCACAGGAACATTTCTAAGACAAGGAAGTGGACTCAACCCAAAGGTATAAATCAACGAGGTGCTTCTTCATGGATTTCTTTTCGTTCTTCATTTCTCTTTCTTTTAGATTATCGTCCTACCCATTCCCCGCTTTTATATTCTGAAAGTATATAAAAAAAATTTCACTATTAATATAATTAAAAATGATGAATTGATAAACATAATTTTTTTTGTTGAATAAATAAAAAGAATGGGTAAAATTATTTTTGTCAAATAAAATGGAAATATTTTATTTGTTACGAAGGATTAAAATATGAGCCAAATTTGCAAATTTTGGTAAAAATAGAATTTAATTTAATAGACAAGTAATTTAAAACGTATGATTGCTTCAGGTATCCGGTCGTATGCCTTCGCGACTCTTCTCATTTATGAATCCTCTCGCTGTGGAAATCTGGTTATTCATGTTGGGCGCTTACGTTATGGTCTCATTAACAATTTGGATAGTGGCAAGATTTTCGCCATATGAATGGGTAGAACCAGAACCATGTCCAAGCTGCAAATGTCCACTACAGGTAGGCTCTTGCCAAGTGATGCTGAAAATAATCTAAAATTGTAAATTAATCCCTGTTAATCGATTCTATCCAACTCTAAATATAAATTAAATTCTTTTTAGTTTTCACTATGTTTAAAGATTTTCTAAAAAATTAAAGCTTACCTATATATAATTTTGTAAAAAAAATTTCAAAAATTATTAAATTTTATTTAAAATAAAATTGAAATAAAGCAATTTTTTAAAGTAAACAATGAAGAAAAACTCTTGTGTAATTGATCATTTGATTTCGCATCACTTGGCGGGGGCCACAATTTATTCATCAGGGCGGTCATCTCAGCGCCTTAGATTCTAGCAACGATGACATCCCATTGCCGAGAAACGTCAACGATTTCACCTTAGCCAACAGCTTCTGGTTTACAGTTGGCACTTTAATGCAACAGGGAAGTGACCTTAACCCCAAGGTAATCATGTCACACAGAGTCGGCTCTATGAAAAAATTTGTAACAGTAGGTCGCAGAAAAATACGACAGCATATCAAATTTTCACTATCTACAAAAAAAAAACTGGAACTGAATTAAAAAAATTTTCATCTAAAAATATTATTATTGATAATTTAAAATAGGAATTTATTTACGTTATTAAAAAAATTAATTACAATTAATGATAACGTAAGTTTTAAAAAAATGTGAAAATCATATGTAGTACTCTTTTGCGAATTCCTATATTATATATATATATATTCAGCACCATATGAATATCAAATTAAGTCAGTCCATTCACATTCACGCATTTAAAAAAAATTCATAAAATTTCAGATTTAAAACAACAAAAATGCGATAATTTAAAAAAATGTATTCAATAAAATTATATAATTTTATTGCTTTTCAATGCATGTTAACCCTGCATGCTCATACATTGCAAGCCAAGCACCCTATGTTTACAATTTTTTTTTGCAGCTTTATTTACTTGTAGTTAAATTTCAATTTACAAATTCGAATATAATTTTGTAAATTGAATTCTGTTAAAAGAATGATACATTATTTTATATTTAATAGTGTGGATTTTTTTTCAATTATAAAATTTATATTAAAAAATTAAATTTTGTTTATTTTTAATAGAAATTGCACGGTTATCTTTATGTTATATTAAGTAAATGTCAAATATATGTTTTCACTTCATTTCAAAGTTCCATTAGTTTTTTTTTACTATTTTATATAATGTTTTCAGATTAAAGTGCTTTAATTAGATATATCTAAATTTTTTTAATTTGCTTTATGAAACATGCACGCAATTATAAAATTATGATAATCTTAATTTAAGTATAAACTAATAAATCTACACTAAAAAATCATTTTATTCAAATAATATAAGCCAAGTAAATAAATTTTTAGTAACTAAAGTAGTCTTCATATCACTGTTAAATCGATATGGGTTGAAGATTTGATAACAATATTTATTAACTTAAGTAATTTAGTTTTAAAATTTTCATAAGTACAAGAAATGTAATATGTTAAGGAATACACTTTAACAATGTTTAATTATCTTCATATTAAAATTTTTAAAACGTACGAACTAAGCTGTGAATGTGTAAAATCTTCGCAGTAATTTGTGAGAATCACCTGATTTGATCAAAATTACACAATCACAATTAGTTAACACACTTTATCCCACTACCGATAGTTGACACCTAATGATAATAACTCTTTTCTTGATTGGGTAACACATAAAGCCTATTTTTATATGAAACAATGTTTCCAGTCTTTTTATTCGGTGACAATAGAATCAAGTTCGCAAGTATGACTTTTCAATCCACCGACTGCACTTTATCCAAGCTTCCAATTACATTGGTGACCTCAGCAGGTAGAAGGCTCCTTACTGAAGTCGCTTTTGATTTTAATCAGGAAGTCTCCCTTTTTCGTAGGTCATGCTTCTACTATTCTTGTGTGACTAACGTCCGGATTTACCTTGATGCTAAGTTTTAGATTGTTGGCATATGTCTTTATCTCAACGACTTTTATTAACATTGTTGATTCTCTTGAAATCTTCGTTATAATCCAAGGGCGCTGTCCTTCGTTGACTTGAAGAATCTTTATCTTTGGAAGTGCTTTCTCCTTTTTCTCCAGTTATACTTCCATCACTTCTGGATTATTTGGACTCTTGATCATTTTTTGGGCGCATCTTCTTCCTTTGCCTTGAACTCAAAAATAATATTTGACTCACTTTCGAAACCAACGCTGACCAAAGGAAGATCCGACTAAATAATTGCTGGTGCAAAGGCAATTGAGACAAGATAAAAATCTGGAATAAACTCACCAACGCTAAAAAAGGAACAACAACGATGACGACGACGACTCAACGCTTAAAATCCTCTTCGCTTGATTAATAACAGTTCAACTCAACAATGAAATAACGTTAACAAATAACTATAAATTAAACTAAATTATTTATTAAATAAGGATATTACTGTTTTACATAAAATCATTTCAAGACATTATGCCCAGGATACATATAATATCCAAAAACATATTGATTCTCTAACGATCCTCTTATCGAAGTGGGCAATTAGACAGCGGTACGTCATGCCTTAATAGGTAGGAGCCGAAGCCCAATGGGATACCTTGGTCCATTGAGGACTATAATCACGATGTTCATGACCTATTCTTTACGCTACTTTCACCACAAGGTACTGCGGGGATGGAAAAACGCCTCTTACGTCATAGAATTCCTTGTGATGATTTCTTGTTTTTCCACAAGATAGATGATGTCTGGAGTGCAAGAAGAGGGTGCCCAATGAAATGGCGAAGCAGTTAGTTACAGTCATCTTGATTAGTTACGCTTCTTACGACATAGAATTCCTTGTGATGACTTCTTGTTTTCCTACAAGATAGACAATGTCTGGAGTGCAAGAAGAGGATGCACAATGTTGTAATGATCTGAATTTATTTGCCAAAGGATTTGCTCGCCGGATGGAGTCCGAGTACCTATTTTGACTAGTTACTTTAAATCTCGGTAGATAGCGTGAAGCGCCATCTATGTTTCGATTAATTTCGGAACTATTTCTTACTATGATGTAGAGGATAGATGTAGTCATTGACAAGTCTAAAGACCTTCGAATGAGAATATATTGTTAAAATAAAAGGATAATAAAATATACAAAAATGAAGTGTTACATAATATAATATAAGAACGAAAGAATCTGTACAACGCAAATAAAATACTAAACTCTAGAAAACAACGATAAAAGAACTAGCTGTTCTAGAGGAGCGTTCGCTGAGCTCCAATCGCGCTCGTCATTAATCCAGAATAAAAGGAATTTAAACATATTTACCACGTTGGCGAAGATGTTGATCAGGACGACGCATATTACTTTCGTGTGGAGTACTTTCTAGAATTTACCCCCTAGACGACGGTACGGACGGATACTAGGGTCGTGCACGCTAGGTCGATTATTATTCGTAATCGGGAAGAAGCTAGATATTGGATTCGGTTCCAATATTCATGCCCGACGCGAAGCTAGTGCAAAGTAATATTCACTAGGTGTCTCCTCCACCCGAGAAGCGCCTCGAGATGGGGAATCGACCTAGTGCATCATCTTTGTCAAGAGAGGAGCGACTCTACTCGACAAAAACGGTCCTGGTGGAAGTGAGTGGGTAACCTGGTTCACCAGTCTTCCATGGAAGCGCCCATGGAAAGTCCGGTTCACCAAGAGGAAGGAAGGCGAAGGGTGTTACTGTTCCGCAGGAGCGCCTACAGGAACAAGTACAGCTCCTTCTAGGAAGTAAGGAAGGCTCCGTGTTCAGAGAGACGCACCTCTACTGAGCACCAGGTAGCCAGGAGTGAGTCGCTTCCAATCGTCAGAGAAGCACCTCTAGACGAGTCGGAAGAAGACTGAGGAAAAGGTGCGAGACGAAAGGTATATCACTAGCAGCTAGGTGACAGCGAGTGGTGGGGGAAGAGAGTGACACTACTACTTACGCTGTCTACTTTCTCTCTTTTCGCCGCGCCACTATACTACGATACTCTATCGTTACAATGTCATCTTGGCCCCTATAACACCCCAACAGGAGTAGGCGTGAGTTAGCGAGGACAATAATCGTGTTCTTCTAGCTGGGATCACGCGGAGGTTCTGCTTCCAGACCGAAGTCTCACTCTGCCTCCAGAAGAGGAAGCGTAGTTCGTTCACGCATCATCGGTTTGTCTCAACTACGCGTGTCCGTCAAAGCGGTACGTAGCCAGAAGGCGACCTATTCTAAATCCGGGAATGCCACAGCGACAAGCAATTATACACTGACTTCCTTCTAGATTCGTCCTTGTTTTCCGGTGAATCTGACGGCAACCTAGATGGAAAGTTATATAACCACGCTGACAGTCAGACCCTTTCGCATTTCACTTGCGTAATTCGTTTTAAAGAAAAACTGACAAAACACAGGTTTATGATACCTTGACCTTGACACCTAAAGTGACACAAGAGAAGCCAGACGGCGAACGAATCGACACATTTAATGGTCAGTTCATACACCTCCAGTTAAGAGTTACAGATAGGTTTATCTATTGGCTAAAGTATTTTCGTGTTGATCCTCCTACGGATAGCGCTAACTGACTGATAAATGGCGACTTATCTGAAAGTTGCCCATTGGCCAGATAAGGTGATCAATAACGAAATTAACCCTAGACACTACAACATATTTGGCTTATACGTAGAAGTACAACTGGGGTAGAAAATCACCCCAAAAATTGTTTTGTTGCTGGAATGTTTATATTTAACGCAAAATAACTTTATTATATGTTATTTTCTTCGTTTTTTTATACGGAAGAAGATAGGGTCTTTTGTTTTTTGATATACTCAAAAATATGAGCAGGGAGACGAAAAGTAGTAGAATTTCACACTTCTTTCTATATATCTTCTAGATACTTATCTAGCACTTAAATTTTTGTGGATCAACCCAAAACTACTATCTGTCAGTTTAACTTTCCAATGAATTTATTCTAACAGATAAGTATCTGACACTTTATTAAAAGGTGGATCGTACTGAATGTCACCATCACAATCCGATGTGTGTCCATAATCACCAACCATTGTTTCTAAAAAAATTTTATCATTAATAATAGTTATTTAAATAATAATTTTTCTACATTAAGAAAATTTATATACAATTACAAGATATTGTCTTCATGAAGGTGAAATTAAACTTTCTTAAGATTGACTGTACACCAACCATGAATCAAGGTTGGAGCTTCAGGCTCTAATCGATGTTATATTCTAACCTAAAACAGTCTTGCATTTGCTGCCTCATTACACCTCAACCAATATTGCTCAATCCTCAACCAAATAGTGGAATCTACTATCTAAAAATTAAAAACTTTAACTCATCTTTTAAGTAAATTGTTACAATAATTTATTATATTTATTAGGTATTTATTTATACAAATTATTTATTCTCAGGAAAAGGGGAACAAAAATTTTTGAAAAAAGGGCGCATGATATGTCTAATATAGGAATTCTAAATTTAGTACCAAAAAAGTTATTTAAATTAATAATTGCTGTTTTTTAATGCTTAAATTATCGTGAAATTAGAAATGATGATAAAAATTTATTTGTCTGAATAAGAATTTAGAGCATTTTTTTATACGTTTTTTCTGGTATGCAAGTTGTGTCAACAAACTGAGATTAGATAAAGAAAAAAATGAGATTTATTTATTCAAATAAAAAATAATTAAATTTATTTTCATAAAATATTAAAAATCATTTATTGTTGCCACAAAATTATTAAAGATTCCCCAAGGTGTTTATGAACATTTACAGTACATATAGATTTCAAACATATGGTGCTAGCCGGCTCTGTGGGCATGTAAAAATACATGCAGGGTTATCGTCAGTTTTCTCCTTTTTTTTGACCCATGGAATTATAAAAACAGCTAAATTATTCAATTATAATTCATCAAAATTATAAAAAAATGTTAATTTAAATTAATTAAAAAATGCCTATATTCTGAATAGAATATGTCTCATAGAATTATTAATATAATTATTGTTAAAAATTTTGTTGAAATTTTTAATTTTTATCATTCTCTTACGTAAAGAACTTATCATGAAAATTAAAAAGCTAAATTTTCATAAAAGGAAAATTTTATTTTTTCGTACGATCGTACGTAAAAAAAGTATACAGATAAAACGTAACTTTCTTTAGAGAAAAAAAACGATAGTTGGACATTATATAGTGATTCCTGAATACTGAATCCGCGTGTGAATTACTAAAGCCTCGATACGAAAAAGCTAACGCCTCTAAAACTATTATACATTGCTGTGTGAATTCCATGGGTAGAGTTATTGTTCCCTCTAGTCCTTATAATTCTATTTTAATATGCGTGTGGAAAGTTTTATATATATATATACATTAAATAATGTCTGGAAAAAATAAAATAATAGTAAAAGCAGAGAACGACATTTTAATGTGGAATTTCTGAAATCTAGTTTCCACATATCGTGTACAAATGAGAACAAAACAACTTGAACATTTGGAACATGAGTTTGAGAATATCTTTCATGCGTGGGAATGGATATGACATATTAATAATGATAATAATTTAACTTTTATGTTTCATGTCATTTTTTAAAAAATATTTTTTATAAGAAGAAAACAATAACTAAATCGTCACTAAGAGACGGAATTACAAAGAAAAATTTAACTAAGACTTTTTTTTTAGTAATTGTAATTGTTTTTCGTAGAAATAGTTAATTCAAATTATTAATAATTTATTCAAATTAATTGATAATTAAATAATAAAATGAAAAAAAAATTCAAAAAAACTTATCCAGAAAAAAAATTAGTAACTGTTATTATTCTTGTGATTTACTCAGTCTTTCATGAAAAATTTAAATCTAGGATGTCACAACTGTATATGCAGTTTTCTCGTTTGTAAAATATGTTTATTCAATAACTATGTAAAGAAGACGACGACAAAAAAGCCGAGTGGATATAAAATGAGGTTCCTTTTAATCCTGCTATTTCTCTTTATTTTCCCTCATCTTTTCACATTTTCAACAATGTGAAGGATATACAATGTATTAAAATTTTTAAATAACATTTTCTTTCATTTTCAAAAACCTAGAAAATATTTTTTCATAATAAATAACATGTTTTTTTCTGAATTGATAATAATTGCTAAAGAAAATTTTTAAAAAGAAAACTTAAAATTCTTTATTATCTTAATTTTACATTTCAAAAAACGAAGAGTTATTTTTTTCTTCTTAAAAATTATTAATAACTCCATTTAGTTAAATGAAAAAATCATTTTAACATATTAATGATAATTGAATGTTTAGTAAATAATTTTATTTAAACAGATTTATTTTTTGCCCATAGGCAACTAGTACAAGAATAGTTGGTGGAATCTGGTGGTTTTTCACCTTAATTATTATCTCCTCATATACAGCGAATCTTGCTGCGTTTCTTACAGTTGAAAGAATGATAACTCCCATTGAAAATGCAGCTGATCTAGCGGAACAAACAGAAATTGCATATGGAACTTTAGAAGGAGGAAGTACGATGACATTTTTTAGGGTAAATTAATGAAATTTTAACCTCAAAATTTTCTTTTCTAGTATTAAGTTTGGATCATTAAAATTATTTGATGAAAATAAAACTATAAAAATTTCAAAGATCAGTTTACTATATCAAGTTACTTTTGATGTAACAAATATTTTCATATTGCAGGATTCTAAAATAGGAATCTACCAGAAAATGTGGAGGTTTATGGAATCTAAGAGTCCTGCGGTTTTCGTTTCATCATATGAAGAGGGAGTGAAAAGGGTTCTTGAAGGAGACTACGCTTTCCTAATGGAATCAACGATGCTAGATTACGCGGTTCAAAGAGACTGTAATCTGACCCAAATCGGAGGATTATTAGATAGCAAAGGTTATGGAATCGCTACTCCAAAAGGTAATTTGAAACTTTAGGTTATTTTCATTTTATTGATCGTAACACGTACTATTAAATATAATTTCTTAGAATAATTTATTAATTTAATATTTATTTTCATTTTGAAAACTGTTAACTCTTTTTTTTTATTACATTCACATCAGTTTACAATATAAATATAAATTTTTCTTTATAAATAAAGGTTCACCATGGAGAGATAAAATATCCTTAGCCATCTTGGAACTTCAAGAGAAAGGTGTTATACAGATCCTTTATGACAAGTGGTGGAAAAATACAGGAGACGTGTGTAATAGAGATGAAAAAAATAAAGAGAGCAAAGCTAATGCCTTAGGCGTGGAGAATATTGGTAAGTAGATTTAAATTTATATTCAATGTGGATTAAAAAAATTACCTGATTTTACAAATGTCCCTTCATTATAATTAATTCTTCTAATTAAGAAACTATTTCCATGTTAGTTTATAATTACCAATTTTATTTAAAAATAATTCTACTTTTGAATTATTATTTTTAATCTTTATTAAATCACTGAAAAAAGAGAAAAGAAAAAGTAAAGAACTACATTCAGTTGAAAGACAATTTATTTAATATTGGATTAATTTATAGCAGAATAAATGCTAAGTATTTGAAACCAAAAAAAGTCGTTGATAACCACGTCAAAAGCATCAGATATTTAAAAGTTTTTTCCTTTATATAAAAATTATTCGAATACCAGAGAATGTTCATACTTCGAAAAAAGATATTTGCCGTTGATTTAGTCTCAAGAGAAAACCACAACGATAATTGGCAAAATTTTAGGTTCAACGTATTTAAACAAGAATGTTGGCTTATGCCGCAAAAATTTTTTACACAGGAATAGTATTGAAAGAAATATGTGAAATAGATTTATTTAAATTTTTTTTCAGAAAATTATACACGTGCGCCTTGGAATTCAATAAACTGTAGTAAATTTTAAACTCAAAAGTGAATAGCAAAAAAAAAATGTCATGAATCGATTTTTATCTATCGTTCCTCCTTTATACTTTGGAAAAAATAATACGTACAATTAAATAAAATAATTTGAACACGTGTTTCGATAGTATCGAACACCTACACGATCTGAGTGTTTCGAAGTTGATTTTCGTCATGTAATCAGCAGTTGAAAAAGAAGTTTTGCATATTAAATTTCAAGTGAATTGAATTAATGGTTTTCGAGTAATTGTGGTCAACGAATTTAAAAATATCATTTTAAGAAAATAAAATTTCAAGTTTCAATCTATTTTTTTTTGTTCAGAAGAAATTTTTTTTATTTTACAATGAGTCGTTAATTTCTGGATCATATAACAATTCTTCCAATTCTCCTCTTTCGAAGAGAAGGATAAAAGGGGAACCCCTATTGTCATCATGCACCGACCTCGTTAATCAATACTCAAAATAATATTTTACTCGCTTTTAAATCCAACGCTAATTAAAGGGAGATCTGACAAAATAATCACTGGTGCAAAGCCGAATGAGACAAGATAAAAATCTGCAATAAACTCATCAACGCTAAAAAAAACATTTCATTGCAGAGTTTCGTGGCCTACTGAAGTAACGTTTACTACCATGGTAAAGGTTGTTATTGAAACTATCGTTCCTTCCTTGTTGTAATAAATCTTTATAATAGTAAAAGAAATTTTAAATATCAAATAAAATTTGGTATGTAATAATTTATATGATAGAGAGAATCGAAACAATAAAAAAACAGGAATAATTTAAAATGAAATTGAGCTCTTTAATTATAATCAGTTCATCTGCTTTCTCATATGCATAAAAATTTAAATAAGAAGAATAATCTCAAGTTACCGGTATCATAGACTATAGCCTACCTATAGTCTTCGATACAGGTTGATGTTCTTTCTCTCCTCAAATATTGACAGAAATTAGAGATTGCTTTCTGGCATTAATAATGGTAATCAAGAATATCTTCCGGTATTGCGCTAATATCTATCACCCTGAGCAAAATCAGTAATTCAGCACACTGGCTTGCATACATCCAACTCATACTCATTATACAATATTGTAAAATACTTGTACTACTAGTGATCATATATGGAGATGATGCAAGTCAATTCCTTTGAAATCCTTTGACAAGTTAATCTAATAACCCACTTCCTTCAATAAAATGCGATTAGGTAATGCGAGGCGTCGCTCGAAAAACCCACGTGGCTGGTCGGAAATTGAATACCTAATTATAAAATCTTCGGTCCTAGGTGACACAAGGAATAATCTTTGATGCCTACATTATTCTGGAAAATTATATCAATCATAAACTGCACAATAGGACACAGTTGGAAAACGTGGATCCACGATTAAAGCGTATGAGAAAAATGGCCTCGGCCCAATAGTATACAGTGAAGACCCACTTGCGGGTAGAAATTGCGAGTTAAAATTTTGTAAATACGATATTAAAGTGTTGATAGTTCAAGACAAAATCTAGAAGTGTTGTCTCTCATAATTTACTCGGGGATTCCCCCTCTTCCTTGTCACCTCACGATTAGGTCCCATGCCTAATTAGAAATGCAGAAAAGAATCGTCTTTAAAAAAGAGTCTTTTAAAAGCCTATGTGAGACCTGAGTTAATGACTGTCTCCAAATAACTAGGTACTTATACCCGAGTCAGGTTTTCAAACCACCCACAACAGCTACAGAATTTTTTTTTTTTGATTTTTTTATTACTCGGAAAAATATGCAATGACTAGAAAATATAAGACTTTTATAAAAGGGTGTCTTATGAAATGGAGAAGCAGTTAGTTACAGATTTACAATTAGTGATGAAGATCGACTAATTTGCGATCGACAAATCAAAGTGAATCGTCTCATTAAAATAATAATTAAAACAATTGAATTTTATTGTTTCATTTCTTTTTTTCTATGTAAGGAGGCAAAAAAGCAAATAAAATATATCTACTCTATCACTAGTTAGAGTCGTTACCTTCCGATAACAACCTAACAGAAGTAGATATGAGCTCATGGCTTCAATTTTCCTAATTCCATTGTCTTGGTTCCTTCTTTTCATTAGTAATTTCTTTGCAAACTTTTTATAATCCAAAATTTATACAGTTTATTTATAGTAGATAATAAGAATATTCGATGTCATCAATAGGTTAACCTTGCGTCATTCACTATTGTGAAAAGATACTTGATTTAAATATATTCAAAGGACAGGAATCATTCTAAAATCATTTGAAATGAAGAGAAATTATTACAATCTATTAAAGTGAAAATCCCCTTGGTTGCCTTTTACAACACACCATAGCCATAAGGCGAATACCAAGAAAGGTTTAGTGCATTCAATTCTCCTTTTAGTCGTCTTTTACGACACGCAGTAGATAACGGACGCTCTATTCTAGAATTGTTCGAGCCATATGTCTATGTAAATTTGGGTATGCAATATTCGTTGTGATTTCAATGAAATATCTACAAAATTTATATGATGTGAAGTTGCAATTTTTACAAGTCACAAAAATATCTTTTTGTATTTACAAGTTACGTAAGGTTAATTCAGTAAAACAGTAAAAAAAAACCTTTTCTTCTCGAATCGTTTTAATAGCACACGATACTCAACAGAAAATACCACTTCACGACTTGATTGTGAAATACTTTAGATTTAATGCCATTTCTTTCTTTTTTTATGTTAAATCCGATAAAAAATTTCAATGATCCAAAAAAGATTCATGAGCCAAGAAAGTAGATTATTGTACCGATAGATTTATTCTTTCGTATAGAAGCTTGAGTATTAATAGACAAGTTGTTCCTTCTTCATAAAGTGTTCGAGAGTATGTATGACTTTAATAAAATTGACTGAGTCCAACAATTCGATGGCCAATTCAGAATTGATGTAGCAGCTTGGGTGACAAATTGGGAACTGATTCTCCTAGCGCTTGTGACCCTTTTTATACCGGATTTTCACAAAGGGGAAAAAAATTCTCAAGTGTGGGTTGCATCTTTTCCACCCTCTCAAAAAAGAGTGACCACCTGAACGTTGTAAATTAGGGTGACTTTCCTTTCGAAGTGACCAGAAATCGTGGTGATAAGTGAATATTAAAGGTAACTGTTTCAAAAGAACAAAGTAGTCTATTTATACAAAACCGATTTTAAAATTTTTATTATCTAAATTCAAAGAAAATCTTACCGCTGGTATGAATATACTATCTCATTATAATGACGCAAGAGAAAACGAAAGATGATTCATGAGAGCAAAAATTTATTCTACCTCATTTGGTATTTTTTGGAAATACAGAATTTGTTAGAAAAATCAGTGTACCGTATTATTGATTTTATAAAATAGTGTCCTGACTATTGTATTAGTAAAAAATAAACTTGTTACAATAATGCAACTGCAATATTAAATTGAAATATAACGAAACGTTACGGTGACATGATATACAGTTAAAAAAATTTCTAATAATTATAACGTTGAATTTAATTTATTATTGATTTTTATTTTAAATTATTATTTATTATTATATTTTCAAGACAATCAACGGTATCTACACTTTTAATTATTAATTTTACGAAGATGCCAAGTTATTTTATGAAAAATAACTAAACCTAAAAAAATAGTTAAATAACCCGACAAGTAAATTTTATAATTCTAATAAATTAGGAAAAACTAAAAGCAGCTTAGGAATTCCATTGTTACTTTACAGCAACAATATACCGCGGAGAGGGGGGATAAGGATAAACACCATTAATTAGACAAAATTTATAACAATAACACTATTTATGAATAGTCACTTCTTTTCTACATTTATGAAAGTGGCAGAAGGCTGATTAACAAGATTCTATTTATTTATTAATTTATTCATTTTTAAATAATAATGAGATCTACTCGGAAGGAAACGACTCATAATAAATTTATTTTGGGACTCACCGTACATTTGACGATGACGGCTCGTCTCATTTTTATAACTAAAAATTTTAAGTATTTTACACGAAAAAGAATAGAACACAACTTGACTCTACAAACATTAGGATGAGAATGAGAGTAAAACGGCTGATGAGTCAAACTCGAAAGCGTCGCTAAACAGCGGCACCTCATCTTGGTGTCATTGAGATCAATTAATATTCAATAATATAATACCCCCGACCGATAATATATACGCAGTCGTCGGTAACGCAGATCCCTACACTACCCGATGTTTAATTGATTGATGCGAGAAATCCATAGGAAATTGACTGCCAGTAATGATTTGACAGATCGTCAAGAAAACAGCAATTTCGGCTTCCTGGTGTTCTTGAATATTCGGGACTCTCATCCAAATATATACACCAGGAAGCTCTTCCCTTGATGACTTCTAATTTCAATAATAGATAGTGATATCCTCA